ATGCAGTGAAGATCCAATTACGCTCGACCAAGACCCTATGCGATATGCAGAGCTGGATCAGGCGTTGCACACTCTGGGGGGTTATGTGCTCTTGGCGGTACATGTTATCCGGTTTTGCACCTCCACACAACAAAACCCGATAATCAGCAAAAAATATAAAAAAAACTACTTTTAAAAAAAGTGCTGAAAAAGTGTTGAAAATGCCATCATGCGTACGATAGAAGATTATTCGTTCGATGGAGGGCGAAATTATTCGATAGATTATTCGTTCGAAGAATCCGTGTTCGGTTTAAACACTACTTTTTTCCCCTTGTCCACGTCATAGAGAGCACCTCATCTCCATGTGTCCCCGATGAGCTCATCTTGTGTAACTCCTCTACTATTCCTGGTCGTCACTTTTTTTAATATGCTCTTTTATTGTTGTGCGTTTCTCTCTCACTATATACAGCTGGTCAACTCTGGTCTTCTGGATCAAGAAATTCACACGATCGACTTACCGCTTCAACCTCAGGTAAGGAGGGCACCATTGGCTTCTTTTCTTGTCTATTGTGTCGTTAGTGTGTTAATAACCTTTCAGGGTAAGAAAGGATGACATACTAAGGGGAAAGGGCAAAAACTACATTGGAATTGATTTTTCCGTTTGACTTTTCCTGGCGTGCACTCCTCTGGTTGTTAAGCATTGCTCTCATTGTGTGTGTTGGTGTGTGTGTGTGTGTGTGCATGTGTGTGTGTGTGTGTGTGTGTGTGTGTGTATGTGTGTGTGTGTGTGTGTGTGTGTGTGTGTGTGTGTGTGCATGTGTGTGTGTGTGTGTGTGTGTGTGTGTGTGTGTGTATGTGTGTGTGTGTGTGTGTGTGTGTGTGTGCATGTGTGTGTGTGTGTGTGTGTGTGTGTGTGTATGTGTGTGTGTGTGTGTGTGTGTGTGTGTGTGTGTGTGTGTGCATGTGTGTGTGTGTGTGTGTGTGTGTGTGTGTGTGTATGTGTGTGTGTGTGTGTGTGTGTGTGTGTGTGTGTGTGTGTGTGTGTGTGTGTGTGTGTGTGTGTATGTGTGTGTGTGTGTGTGTGTGTGTGTGTGTGCATGTGTGTGTGTGTGTGTGTGTGTGTGTATGTGTGTGTGTGTGTGTGTGTGTGTGTGTGTGTGTGTGTGTGTGTGTGTGTGCGTGCGTGCGTGCGTGCGTGTGTGTGTGTGTGTGTGTATGTGTGTATGTGTGTGTGTGTGTGTGTGTGTGTGTGTGTGTGTGTGTGTGTGTGTGTGTGTGTGTGTGTGTGTGCGTGCGTGCGTGCGTGCGTGCGTGCGTGCGTGCGTGCGTGCGTGCGTGTGTGTGTGTGTGTGTGTGCGTGTGTGTGTGTGTATGCGTATATATGCACTCACAGGGCCAGTTATCTATGAAGCTACAGTACTTGACACCGGAGATGATGTTGAAACGTAGTGAGATGATGAAGGCTAACACGACGACGGCTGTGTTCGGAGTACCGTTGGAGTTTGTCACAATGTATGTACCAACACTCTTATTGGCCACAGGCCATCGTGAGAATAAAGATTTGAAACACTGTCATGTATCGCTGCAGGGACTCCGCCATCATGTTAACTTAATTGCTGCTGCTGTTGTCTCTGCTGCTGTTGCTGCCGCTGCTGCCGTCTCTGCTGCTGCTGGTGCTGCTGTCGTCTCTGCTGCTGCTGCTGCTGGTGGTGCTACTGTTGTCTCTGTTTTGCTATCGACGCTTCTACATTTGATACATTTGCTCGCTGTTGGTGATGTGGAGCTGACAGCCTGACACAGTTGCTTAGTGATGCTGGTAGGGGTTCGCAGCTGTGTGTGTGTGTGTGTGTGTGTGTGTGGGCGTGCATGGGTATTCTCTAAGATGTAACACTTCATTGTATCCTCTAGTATCGCACACCTTTGATTGTGGTAGGTTTCTGAAGGGTACTAGCAAGACGAGCACTCACCTTGATTTTCTGCTATTCGTGTATCCTGCTTTGTCTTCATCTTAGGCGTGAGAGTACCCTTGTTCCAAACATCGTACGGCTCTGCGCTCAGGAAGTTGAGCTTAGAGGTGAGAGGTGGTATTGATGTCACTCTTTCTTCAACTACATGACACTTGTATAATTTATCTGCATTGTCTTTCTGGCAAATTCTGTACTTTCTGTTCACATCTCTGTCGTCCGTTCCCACTTCCAAATTCCCTTTCATCTACCTACTTTTGTGGCAATGTATTGTGAAATAATCTACTTTGTATGTGTGTGTGTGTCTGTTTGTCTGTCTGTATGTGTGTGGGGGACATGTGTGTGTGTGTGTGTACGTGTGTACTTGGGCGTGAATGTGTGTGTGTGTGTGCGCGTGTGTGTGCGCGTGTTTCACTATGTTAGGTTTGGAAGAGACCGGCGTTTATCGTATATCTGGCCTGGCATCTGAAGTCAAGATGTTACGTGAGGCATTCGACACAGGTGAGTCATCACACAGGCTAGAATCACACAGGTGTTTCCAAAATGCACATGCACACACGCACACACATACATACACACACGCACACACACACATACACACACGCACACACACACACGCACACACATACACACACGCACGCACACACACACACACACACACACACACACACATTCTCTTGGAAGTCCTGCAACTGCTCCATGCTAAGCACTCAGTTCTCAAGGTAAGAATCAAGAATGGGGAGTTCCCTAGTGCTTTCACAACACATAATATGAAAACAGTACACATAACTACTGGCACTGTGTACCGGTGTTGGCTAGTACACATGCACATACAGTTGTGGTCGGTGAAATGCGACCTGGAGTGCATTTTTGCCGCCCTCAACTTGCACGGCCCTTGACGCCCTGGAAGTGGCACGAATGTATAAGTACAATAATGTAATCGGAACTGGTCCAGGGCACCAGCTTTGCACTTTGGGTCGGATTTCAGTGAGCGCACCTGTAGGTAAGCCACCGTGCAACAAAGAATAATTAGATCAGGAATGCCGTGCGTCGTAAAAGGACACATGGGTATGAGTTATACGTAACTGCTCACCACTGTAGTATGCAGTCATAAAGTGCAAAAACTAGGCACCAAACACTATGTCTCAGTGATCTGTCTAGTCTGGCTTTTCACACCTGCCTGCATTGCTTCAATGTACACTTTGTATTAGTTGATATCAGGCTGAAGGGGTTCAAGGGCATCTATATGTAGCACTCAGTAGTCCACCAGCTCTCTATATGTGTTCATTCCTCTATATGTCATCACCTGTTCACTTCGTGCCTATATGGCTTCACTGCGACTTTCTCTATATAACTCCACACGCGACTTTCTCTATATAACTCCAGGTCATTCTCTATATAACTCCACACGCGACTTTCCCTGTATATCTCCACTCAGGTTGAGACTTCCTCTGTATGACTCCAACTCAGATTGCAAACTTTTCCACACAAAATCAAATCTTATAACCTTTCTTTCCACATGCAGCAACCACTTAGCCTCGAGGCAGAATTACACCCACTTAGGCTCAAGGCAGAATTAATCAGCGCAAGTCCTCCCAGCACTTAGCATTATGCACGACTACGCTCACATAATCTCTATCGAAATCACACACATGGCATGAGCTGCAAGGCAGAAAGGAATGCAGCATACTAGATACGAACATCAACAGAATAACTACCTTAACTTAACCAGTAAGAGGAAACTACGTCAAGAGGCTGACATGAACAAAATCCTGACCGAATGCAAGATAGCAATCATTATATCAACATCATCAGTACATCTTCATTGAAGCAGCATAACACAATATAATAATAACTGTACTTCTGAAGTATAAACATAATCAGACATCGCCATTGAAGCAGCATCATTATCTGTGGATTGCAGGGTGCAGTCAATAACGACGACGATAGCGACGGTTATCAACTATTGGCTGATACCAACCTTCAGGTGGACTGTTGAACATTTCATCTTCTCCTGAGGCAGCTGCTGGAGATGATCGATCACCGAGCAGACGCGCAGGATACTTGCCTTGGGCTGCACCGCTGGCATCCTCCACACTGTACAGGAGGAAGTTGCCAGGTGCCGTGTGGTGACCAACAACTACGCCCTCATGTCACTGTTTCTGCAGGGCTGCAACACCTGCAGCTCCACCAAGATTGGCATGCTTGACATAGTAGACTGTCTGACCACTGACCAATCCGATATTCAGGCATTGTAGATTGCCACTGGACCTCCAAAGGAAAGTCCTCAGGCTCGTCGACCGAAGTAGCAGCAGCTTCAAGGCTAGGCCCTGTACAATGTGGACTGGACACTGGGTCGTACGCAGATGAAATAGCTGATGCCGTTTCAGCTGTAAAGATGGGCTCTGCATCATGTGGAGTAGCATCAAGATGAGCCGGTGTCATTTCTGGTGCGTCCATGCTAGAAGTAGAAGTTGCATCAGCATCTTCACCATCGCAGTCTATGTCAACACCGTCATCCAGTGGAATGTGCTCAGAATCCAGGAAATCCGCCCTCTCCTCACTGGTCAGATCATTGCGCGTTGGGGTGTTGTAGAGGCTGAAGTTAGGACGCCGCAGGAATAACTCAAACGGAGTCTTGTTCTTCAGACTGCGGTGAGCTCTGGTGTTGTACACATAGTAAAAGTACTGCAGTCTGCTCGGCCAGTCTGGTTGCTTCTGCAGGTCCCGACGCAAGAAATTCGCCAGTGTTTGATTGAATCGCTCCACGCGTCCTTGACTCTGAGGGTGATATGGCCGTCCATTGACTTTCAAGGTCTTCAGTTCATCGATCACCTCAGCAAGATTTGAGTTATTGAACTCCTTGCCGTTATCAGTTTGCAGGATTCTGGGGGGCCCATAACGGTACACACACTCCATGAAGACAGCAACAACATCTTTAGCTGATTTGCTTTTTATTGCTCCTCCCATGCCAAATCTTGAAAAGCAGTCAACAATATTGCACGCGTACTGGAAGCCACGACATGCAGGCAACTTCTTCAGATCCATTTGCCAGCGGCTGTTGGGGTACGTGGCCAGGATCGTCTTCCGTGTGAGGCTTGTTTTTGGTAGAGGTTGCTGCTTCCTGCAAAGCACACAGTTGACGTGTTGCTTGAACAAAACTCTGACATTCTCACGTACAACAGGATAATATGAACAACGAAGACTTTCGTAAATGGTCTCAGCCTGTCGGTGGTCACGCGCGTGATCAGCAATGATCAGGTTCACCAGCATATCCTTTGTCACACACGTCCGATGGGAAACATTGAGTTCTGTCGATTTCACGTACAGTCGGTTGCTCTCCAAATCGTACAGAAACTTGTCTACATACTGTTGCACTTCGGGATCGCTGACGGTGAGTTCCATTGTTGCAAGATGCTGGCTGATTCGACGCTTTCCCCACTTGGGATTCTCAGCCTTCGCTTTGAAAGCCAGCGTAGTCTCCTCCATTGACACCCAAAAAACTCTCCGCATTTCTGTCCTTCGTTTTCGAGGAACTCCTTGCACCCTTTGCCACTCTAATGGCATCTGTAGGGCCTCGGTCGTCCTCCATTTCCTAACTGCAACACCACAACGCTAAAAGTAAAACATGGCCTACAGCACTTCCATCGTAGTGAAACCTAACTCGTCATGACAAAGAAAATTCCTCAACTAACCGAAAAGCACCATGCACCAACAGGCAACAAGAACTTTATGCAGCGCCGAGTTGCAAAAGTCGCTACTGGAGCTATATAGAGAATGACCTGGAGTTATATAGAGAAAGTCGCGACTGCACTGGAGCTATATAGAGAAGGACCTGGAGAGAAAGTCGCAGTGCAAAATTGTGGAGCCATATAGCGAAGTTGCGTACGGAAAAAGCCATATAGAGGCAGTGACGACAAATAGAGAAATGAAGCCATACTGAGTGTAACATATAAATTGTGGGTGTGCCCATGAGAACGTGTATGTGCATGTGTGTGTTTGTGTTTGCTTCATTTTCTGGACCATGCCTGCAGATATCGATCAGGCCGCAAAGCTCGTCAAGGAAGTAGACATCCATGCGGTGACTGGCGCTCTCAAGCTGTTCCTTCGGGAAATGCCCGAGCCGATGTTTCCTCGCATACTGTACAGCCGCTTTGTGGAGGGAAGCAGTAAGTCACGAGTCATGATGGCAAACTGGCCTCCAAGTCATGATGGCAAACTGGCCTCCAAGTCATGATGGCAAACTGGCCTCCAAGTCATGATGGCAAACTGGCCTCCAAGTCATGATGGCAAATTGGCCTCCAAGTCATGATGGCAAATTGGCCTCCAAGTCATGATGGCAAATTGGCCTCCAAGTCATGATGGCAAATTGGCCTTGAAGGAAACCGTAGCAAGTGAATATCCAGAGCACGCCTATACTATTATAGTATAGTGCTCTATGACCTGTTCAGTCCAATCCACATTTAAAAGTTTATTGTGAATACAGAGAGCAAGCGCATGGCCGTCGTCGGGGAAAGCAGTGGCTGGTATGTCCCTGGTTTGAGTCCTGGTTCCAGTGCTGGTGGTGACAGTCAATTTTTTCTTCAGACTTTCCCCTCTTCCATTCCCTCTACTAGTGAATACTGGGGATACTCCAGAGAGTTTGGCTTGAGCTGCTGCAGGCTCCTTGTTGTATTGCTGCTAACGTTGCTGTTGATGCTGTCATTGTCTTTCTCACTATCCGCTGTCCTGCAGATCTGTCCAACTCGGACTCTCGTGTCAGCTGTATGGTGTCGCTGCTGTACAGTATGCCAGACACTAACCTGCTCACAACTCTGTACTTGATCAAGCACTTGAAGAAGTAAGACTGGCTTTTCTCCCATTCTGCAACTAACATGCCGTTGCTGATCCACTTCACTAGTACAGTAGTCCTCGTGGATAACAAACTCCAGTGTGACACCATCTTGAGAATAAAGTTACAATCTTCAGTCGTAGTGACCATTTGACTGCATACAGTACGTCCAACCTCGTGAATAACTGCAACACGTGGATACCGGCACTTTCTCACGCACGATTGAGGGTTGTAATTCGCAATGTTGACTGTACTGTTTGTACACTTCTTACGGGGATGCCAACTCGTATGAAATGCAGTGACCACGCTCCGGCAAAGTCCCTAAACAATATTCAGTCACGTGAATGTGATGTACAAACACTGTTTATGTACAATCATGTATAGCAGGCTGCTGCTGTCTGCACTTGTTGTGCCCTGTGGCGTAGAAAAAAAGTCTGCTTGGCGGGAATGTCACGTGTGGAAAATGAAATTGACAAAGAAGAGGGAGAACAATGAATAATGGTGTCTTGTTGAGAGAGTAAGCTGCCTTCAGCGCATGACAGTCGGTAAAGCAGTGGCTGTTATGTTCAAAAGGCCAGCGACAGAAACAGCGGCAATCCTCCAGCAGCACGGTGCTTGTTGTGGCCTGGCTGCTGCATCATTCGCACTACGCTATGCTGTGTGTGGTTAGCCACTGGTCCCATTACTGTGCCATTGTGTGCGCTGCTGTATCGGTCAGGTTACTGCACTATATACACACACAGTCGCATGCACACACCCTCCGTCACTACCACAGGGCACAGGCTACTGTGTCTGTCGGTGGTGTCCCAGCAGTGCGTGTGTCTATGTGTTGTCTGTAACCTGACTGCCATGTGTCAGCACCATACATCACAGTATAGGTCACATCTTAAATTCTTGATCACTCATGCATACTTACCCTGCACGTATGTTTTTTTTTCTCTAAAAATATGCGAGGAGAGAGAGAGAGGGGGGGGGGGGAGCATGCACTTCACTAGAATTTTGGTACTTGTAGGTGAAATTCTCTCATCGACACTAAATTGTGCAGAGCGTTGCATTACCACCTCTTTGTGGGCTTGAACGTGGCACAGTCTGTGGTGTCAAACATGATTTCTGTTTGTCGCGATACTTCCACTGCTGTGTGTGTGCATGTGTGTGTGTGCGTGTGTGTGTATGTGTGTGTGCGTGTGTGTGTGTGTGTGTGCGTGTGTGTGCGTGTGTGTGTGTGTGTGTGCGTGTATCTGCGCACGCACCGTGTTGACAGTGTGAGTGAGTACGCATCCATGAACAAGATGACAACTTCAAACCTGGCCACAGTAATTGGACCCAATGTTCTGAAGCCAATCGATGATGGTGCAGATCGTATCGTCCTGGACATTGGAAATCAGGTACACAGCTAATCCATACATATATGTCATGTGCTTTATCTGTATATTGGGTCAGTGAGCGTACAAATACTCTGCCTGTACTTGAGGGTGCTCTTGGCTGCTCACTGCTCTTTGCTCGTGAAGAGTTGAGTGCTGTCCGTGCGTCGCCCTACGCGTTTGGATCACGGAATGTAATGCCGGTGTGTGTGTGTGCGTGCGTGCGTGTGTGTGTGTGTGTGTGTGTGTGTGTGTGTGCGCATGTGTGTGTGTGTGAATGTGTATGTGCATGTGTGCACGTATGTCTGTGCCTGTGCGTATGTGGGTGTATCTGCCCATCTCTATATGTTAAACGATGTCAGGTGACTGTCCTTGGTTTCTTCCTGGACCTTCAACTTGACCTGCTGGAGCCAGAAGAGCGCGATGTCGACGGACAAAGCGTTCAGGAGGTGCTCTCGTCAACAAGCGTTACTCGTCTCGCCCACACCGTCGGTGAGTTCAGCAGAGAATGCTTTGGATGTGCACTAGGTGTCTGTAAGCTGCGTCCAAAAGTCGCCCTCCTTTGTCTTGCTTCTGTATTTTACAGTTCCCTTGATCATCGTAGTATAAGCTGCACCGACTTTGGGGGGGGGGGGGGGGGCACCGACTTTGGGGGGGGGGGGGAAATACTAGTGTTTAGAGTATGGCGTACACTCCGGAAAATATGATATTATACCGTATGCCCGCACCTTTAATGGGCTTCGTAAATGAAAATTAATGACATTTGAAGTATGTTTTGTGAAACTGCAGGAATAAGTACTATGATTACACTAACACACTTACAGCCCAGCAGGAAGGGCGAACAAGTGGGTTTAGAGTGAAATTTCTGTGTAGACTTTGACTTCTATAGCATTTCGTGGTGGGCGAGTCATTTTGCATCTAAAATTGCTAGGAAAGCAGTAGTTTTTCGAATATAAGGCCAAGGCTTTAAAGGCGCTGGACATACGGTATCAGTTATTAGCGTCTGAACATAACGTTAGCTTGAATGTCGAACTGTTGGCACATCTCGCTTCAAGCACTGCGCCTATGCATGACCTTTCACGAACCACTGCTTGACATCACCACTTTGTGCTGTGCATATATCTGTGAGTGAGTGTGTGTGTGTGTGTGTGTGTGTGTGTGTGTGTGTGTGTGTGTGTGTGTGTGTGTGTGTGTGTGTGTGTGTGTGTGTGTGCGTGCAGTACCGTCGCGGAGTACGGACAGCCTTGGCATTCACCACGTGGCCAGCGGCAGAGAGTCACCGCAGAGCGGCTCAATTCACCACGGCTATCTTGATATACACAACAAGACCAGTTAGAAGGAGGAGAACCCGCTCTCCAGAACACAACCAGCGACTCGCACCGCTCTGAACCCCCCCCCCCCCCCTTTAATGTGTTCTGCTCCTTAGTGGCTAACTATTTGTCTATTACTGGTGATGCCGGAGCTGGAATCCTTTTCACTTCATTCTGCGGCTGTTGTCCTGACGACGTATTTTCGCAGTCCTGTCGCCGCATGTTGGCCACTGCGGTCGCATCGCCACTGCTACCGGGTGTGTGTGTGTGTGCGCATGTGCTCGTGTTGCCATGACGAAGGTGGACGATCGCTCGCTTGTGTTCGCCACCCCTGCCGCCGCTTGCCCCCCATGTAACGTCCCATGTGCACACGCACTCGCGCACACACCTCACTTTGCACTCGTGCTTTTATTGCCAGTGCAATCACAGCCTTTGGCTTTGACCAGAGGTATCTCTCTCTCTCCTGTACATAGACCATTATCATACCTTGCGGCCTCTGGCCCTCGCTGTTGCTGACGAATTTGCCCAAGCTTGTCCGAAATTGCTCGCGACGGAAATTTATATTTATTGCTCTCCTCTTCTTCTCCTGTGCCGCCGACGCGCGATGGCCGGCGGAACTGTTTATTCTCTTATGCTCCCGAGTCCCGTGCCTCTGGCTTTATCCCATGTGCGTGCTTTGGTCTGTACGGCACACAGCGCACGCGCATGTAAATTCATTGGTCTGCCAAACGGATGCACACAAACACACGCACATCCAGGTAGGCAGACACAGCCGATAACTTTCAGATTTCTTCCAAATACTCTCCATGACGCCAGATGATATTATTTTTTTCTCAGACAGCGCTGTCGGTATGCACTTGATTGTGTCTGCGCGGTGCGTATGTATATCTCAGTTCATTCGTGTGTTCGCATGTTGTGCCATTTTCATCACCCTACGTATTCTGCACTATTGTTCCAGTGTGCTTGTCTACACATCGTGTTGTATCCTCTGGGTGTGGTTGTGTGTGTGTGGGTGTGCGTAAAAACCCCGCTTCGAATAGCTGTGTGGTGTAGGCCAGGCTGAATAGTGGCAGTCAATTCTTCAGCCTTGCAAGCTGTTGAATGGTACAATCCCGGCACAAGTTGCTATGGCGTCTGCTGGAGCATCGCTATCATCACCCCCGGTGATGGGCGTCACAAGGTGTGTGTCGTACTTGTAGTTTCTATGGGACATTTTTCAGTGCGTTTTATTTTCGGTAAAAACTTCGGCACCGAAGTGACCGAAATTTTCTGCTTTTACAATAGTTTTAACAGGAATATCCCAAGCTAGCAAGCTCTTCTAAACTAATCCATCGCTCACCTTGCTTGGATGAGGCGGTGGAGTTTTGAGAAGACTTGTTTCCGAGGCTGAAGAGGCCTGCGGCTGCCAATAAGGCTAAGATATTCAGCGCCCATTGGTTGATGAGGACACTTGGAAGTAGTTGGTGGTAATAGTCCAGACCTGGGTTACGTGGGTATTAGCTAGGTTACTGGCTTACTGACACTGCAGTGCAGAGGGCAGCATGCTAGCACAGAAACATTATCCAGTTGAGAGCTGACCGGGACATTGGATATGGCTATACAGGCGGACGCTAACACCACACCATCGAGTGCGAAGAAGAGTCGACACATCACCGACGTCCACAGGCTTCCCAGCGCCACACTACACAGGTTTCAACTCTGATCCCGCGAAATCACACCACCAGCAAACATGGTAGACAGGGGATCGTGGAGACATAACTCATAAGTCCCTCGCCTGAAGGTAGAAGTGATTTTGCAACTGCATTGCCCGTGCCAAGCCAAGCGCCAATGGGAATGGCTGTGGCGCTCAGCTCAAACCACGAACAGTGTGCATGCACGTGATCACCAGACTTCTTCATCCCATCATTCTGGTCTTCGTCGTCGTCTGCAGGTCACTGTACTGGTGAGAATCACAACGGTGAACCCAACTTGATCATGTTCCTGTGGCCAAGATACGGAGTGTCTTGAAGTCGCTCTCCTGCCTAGGCTAGAGTCATTTTATCACCAAATTATTCTTTTAAAACTTCGTAAGTTCATTCCAAAATGGCTAAAGAGTCAGGATACACCATCAATTGTTCAACAACTGTCCGCTGGCCGTATGCTGCAGCCACTAGGCTTATGTGACTTTGTGTCGGTACCTCTTGTCAGTTTTGTGCGTCGCTGTGCAAGTCCGACTGCTCACAATCTGGTCTAGTTGATGAACTACTAGTCTAAGTCGTAACCTATGCGCTCTCGTTTTCCTCGTGTCCATCCTGACACATGCATGTGCTTCCTTTGCTAACGAGTAACGAAATGAGATCACGACTACAATGTACTAGGTGTGGATTTTGGTGGACTTCGCCTTTCGCATTCAAATCTGCTTCAAGGTTTGGACTTGGAGCGAACTGAATGCAAACGTTACCAGGTATAACCGTGTGGAGGTGCCATCATCTATGCCCGCTTGGAGGTCAACAGCTCGGAGGTCAACAGCTCCTTCACCAGGAAGGAACTGTCGTCATCCTATCCAAGCGTTTCTTCACGGAGTTGTCTCTCCGGCATTTTTCTTGGAGTATGCTCTACCTTACCAGTTACGCGGCACTGTCGATTGCTCGGAGTCACCGGTCACGTCGTTGCATCACTGCCATCATCCTCTACATCTGATATGCCGTCGAAAGCAACAATGTTCATCATCTGCCGATCTGGTGCGAATGGGCGCTGTCGCTGAGCGTGGCTGTCTCTGGCAACTCTTCATAGGCCTTCAGCTTCCTTGCTTCTTCGTGGCTATACTTCAGAATGACGCCTGCTCTAGAACCCTTGACGTCAATCAGGATGATGTCGCCTTGCTTGATCCAGACCTAAGTTTCGTGGCTTTCCCCGAATGTGGCAAATCCGCGTCCTGCCATCATAGCAGAAAGCCTCGAGCCGACAACAGCCAAACTGCTTCAGTGACTTGAGCGTATTCTTGGCCATCCTCTCTGAATACTGACTCTCGATTGTAATACTTTCTGTCGCTACTGTCGGTCTTTCCCCGACGACGACGAGGACCTCGGCAGGACACAGGTAAGGAGGACATTTTCTCTCAAATCTGGACTGTCCAGACGAGGTCGGGGCGCTTGGACAGTCTGCAAGTGCAAGAAGCTAAAGTAGAGCTCGAGGAACCTTGGCTTGGGCCTGGCATAACACAAGTCGCGAAATGACCGTCCATGGCTTGGAGGCACCGGTAGAACAGGCATCTATGCCTTAGCCTATGGACCAGACCGCGCAGCTGCCAGAATAGACCAATCCCGAAAAGATTGTCTGGGTTCGAAAGGGGGCATGTCAACTGAGAGTACACTGTACAACACATACATGGCCATGGCACTACCTGATCAGCATGCGGCACAGGACGTGTTTGATAGTTCGCGTGTGAATGCGAGGGTAAGTGCACGATTTTCTCGTTAGTTGCATGCAAGAGAGACGATGCGACAGAAAGCGAAGCCCTTTGTAGTTTTCTCTCTCGCACTGGTAATGGTGTGCTGTTGGAGTTGAAATGTTAAGACATAATCCTTGTTTCGCTCTTCTGTGTAGTGTGAAGAGGTCAACGAACATGTAGAGCTCACTTTGATGAAGTAGGCAAGGCTGTGAGCGCTGTGGCTCAAAGCGATAGGCCCTAAATCTTACGAGATATTTTGAGTGCTGTTGTTTGTTGCGTGCGCTTCGTCTTCGATGAGTCCTGCCTCTTTCCTGGCAGCTGCCCTCCTATAGGACCAACCACGAAGTGACTGTACTCATCTGCAGCCGATCAATGTTATATTGCACAAGAAGATATCGTTTTCGCCAAGCCAGTGCCCCGCCAAAGACCATCGCCGTGTCACACCGTCGGAACGAGTTCATGATGAGAAACATCATTCGCGCGAGCGTGATGTAGAACTATTTCGAAAGACAACATAGTCTTTCAAAATTTTGAAGGACGCTTCACGCAGCTTCATTATACTTGAATTGTTTGCAGGCAACCTACCTACACTCAAGAGAGCACTGCATTTCACACAAATCCATTGGTATCGTTACAACGTTTCGGTCTTTATGACCATCATCAGGAATGAAGTGGACATGGAAAGAACAGCAGTATAAAAGAAGGAGGCAAGCAAGCAAAGCGCGGTACATAGTGACAGCGCGCGTAGAGAAGTGCAAAGCACGTCATGGCGGGTGTGCATTACTACATATACATGACAACACAAGCACAAACGGCGAGGAAAGTAGATACTGCGCTACAGCAGTGATAACAGCCCAGTTCCAGTCTCACACCACCAGTGAGGTGTCTAGAGCCCCGCGCCACTCGCAGTAAGGTGGTGTTATAGCAGATCCCAGCCACTGTTGTTGTTAATTTCCGGGGATCGCTCCCTGATATTGATGGCCTCCCGGATCCTCCTCCTGGGGCGGTCACGCTCAGAACCGAGAACCCGGATACCTGAGAAAGCCGTTGCTCCCAATGGCAATGGGTCAGATGCATGCTTGGCCGCGAAATGCTCACCCAGCGCGGTGCCGCTCACTGTGTTGCGTGCGTCGTCGTTGTGTTCTTTTGTCCTGGTAGCGAGGCTGCGGTACGTCTCTCCGACATATTTATCACCACATTTGCACTCGAGGTGGTATACAACATTTCGCTCCGTGCATGCCCCTGAACCGGACATGCAGGCGACACAAGCAGCTTTGGGCCGCCCCCGTTTACGGGGCCTGGACGGGTCTACAAACCTGCGGCATGGTGGTTTGCGGAGGGCAGACGTGCAAATCATAGAACTTAGACGGCGGTTCCTGTAAATCAGCTGGGCATTTATCTTGTACTTCCGGAGTAATTTATGAATTTTGTTGTGGATATACTCGGTGTGAAACGGTAGGTTGAGGGTGACACGGTATTCATTCTGCACTCTGACACGTCGGGGGCGCATAGCTCGTTGTTGTTGTTGTTGTTGTAGAAGTTTATTTAACGTCGCACCACAAACAGGCGATTTCGCCTCCTTTGATACATGTGGACGACAGAAGGAATGAGAGAGAGGGGGGGGGGGGGGACAGAAGTATGGAGAGAGGAAGGGTAGAAATAAATAAGCAATCAACCTCAGGGCTACACCAAAGCAAAAACGGAATGGGAACATACTATATACAAAATAGCTTCATACATATATTGCAAAACACGTTTACTATTCTTCAGTCCGCTATACCACAGAAACACACTAGCCGAAAAGCATTTAAACGGAGCCATGATGCGCTTTTAGCAGGGCACAGAACTGAAGGTGGCTGGGCTCGGAACGGAGATCAGGCGGGAGCTGGTTCCACAGGACTGCGCCGATGAACTGCATGGTCGCCCGACCCGCAGGACCGGGCCAAAATGGTACTCGAACGAGGTGATGTGCTGCTCCCCGAGTGCGGTCACCAGTAACTCTCACGAAGAAGCTGGTGAAGAGGGAGCTTGCTCGGGAGAACAGACAACGACGGACAAAGATGAGGAGCTTAATGTTAAACATGTCCTCCAGGGTGGTGAGGCGGAGCTGTTCAAAGATCGGGCTCGTGCGCGACCACGGTGGTGGTGGCAGACCGAAGAAGCCGCGGATAGCGCACTTCGTTAGACGTGTGAGGGGCTCCATGTTGCCAATTTGAAGTGACGGATAAAAGGCGTTGGAAGCGTACGACAACCTACCCTGGATCATCGACCTGTAAAACAGGATCTCGTTCACGTGCCGAAACTATAACTGACTCTGGGAAGTTGTTGAATTTTAGGATGTTGGTTACTTTTTCTTCACTTCTTTTTAGGGTGTCGGCATCGGAGGATAGGCGGACGGCACGCAGGAACTCAGAGGAAGCAATTGCTTTCTTTTGCTGGTTGGGAACTGACGAGTTGTAGTCTGATACCAGTCCGCTGTGGCATGGCTTGCGGTATAGTTCATAGGATATAGATCCATCTGGTGAGCCATGGACGGTCGTGTCCATGAAATTGATTGAGCCAGTCAACTCCGTGGATTGGTGAGTGAATTTAATATTAGGATCGGCATTATTGAAGTGATCTAGGAAACTCTGCAGAAGTTCCGGACCGAGGTTCCACACAATGAAAACATCATCGATGTAGCGCTTGTACAGAACTGGGCTGGCAGGTGCACTACGCAAGAGCGAACTCTCTAGGTCATGCATGTACAGGATGGCAAAGGGGGGCGCTAGGTTATTGCCCATAGCCACACCATCCTTCTGGTGGTACACCTGCGCTCCAAACCGGAAGTAGTTGGAGCTCAGCACATGTGCGAGGAGCTCCTTGACCTGCCCAATTCGGAAACCGAACAGATCGATGCTGCCCTCGTGTTGTCGGAGGACTCTCATGACTGCTGCAATGCCATCGTTAATCGGGATGCTAGGGTAAAGGGCCACCACATCCATAGTCACAATGATGGTGCCGGGCGGGGCCTTGAGGTTGGGAAACGCGCTCCTCATACACTGGAGTGCTTCAACAGTGTTCTCCAGGTGTGCTGGCACGAACTGGAGACATTGATTGAGGATGCGTTCGAGGACTATGGAGATGTTTGTAACTGGGCAGCCGCAGGCCGCAACGACTGGTCTGAGAGGAATATTGGACTTGTGGTCTTTTGGAAGACCGTACATTTCAGGGAAGCTGTTGTCACCCGGCATCACGGCTGTGTATAAATCCTTTTCCAAGGATCCCTCGCAAACTCGGCGGAGTATCTTTCGGGTCTCCTCCTCCCACTGGTCGATAGTAAGCTCAACTTTCTCAAACCGGGACTCGTCCGACAACAGGGATTCTGCCTTCTCCAGGTAAGTGGTCATTTTCATTGCTACAAATTTGTTGCTTTTATCAGATTTTTTTATGATGACCGACTCGTCCTTGCCGACCTTCATGAGCTGCTCACGATCAGAGTGAGTGTAGGCAGGTTGCCTGCAAACAATTCAAGTATAATGAAGCTGCGTGAAGCGTCCTTCAAAATTTTGAAACGGTTCTCCCCCTCAAGGACTCAGACGCCCTGGTTGTTCGTGAAGTGGGCATGGAAACTAGAGCGGAGTCTTTGTCAGGTGCATTTTCTGCTTCAATGTCGGCGGAAACATTTAGTCCCATATTTTATTCAGCGCAGCGTGCCCCAGCCGATAGGTTCCCGTCCTTCCAGAGCTACCCGTCGCGATGCCTATGTTCGCAACCTTCTGAGGGATGCCATCGAGGACAAATTTCGGTGGAATTCCCACTGCTATGGACTATTCACGGCGCGGAGGGCCGACCTGCGCTCGTACTCCAAGCAAGACTATATTTGGCTACGTGCCTTGTGCAATGCTCTGTGTCATGCGGAACGACTTGCCTCCCGACGACGGCTCACCCTTAAGCTAGAGCGTCTATGCCAGCAGCAGTCGTTCGTGGGCTTCCCCCATTGCCAGCTGCCTGCAGGTGGTCACCGCAACAATGTCACGACGCAAGACCGCTCTGGATGTGCTCTTGACTTAGACAACTGTGTGTCGAGTGAGGCGCTGGACCTCCTTAGACTCGGGCCGGGCTTTGTTCCGTCGGCTGGCAAAGCCAACCAGAGAGTTATGCAAGACGTCGAGGTGGGCGTCGAAAGAATGGCGTACTCTCTTCGCTGGTGGAGGCAGTCCTCGGAACAGCAGCCATCTATGGCTGACGGAGGTCCCGCCAAATTTGAACCCAAGATCTGGCACCTGAAGGCACATGGTTTCCAGCAGGGCCCTAAACTATCCAAGGACGAAGAGTACAGCCTGGCGAGCTTCAAGCGCGAAGCAATGGCCCTGTACAAAAACTCGCGAGTGCCGCAGCCGAACCTGTCTCACTCTGATCGTGAGCAGCTCATGAAGGTCGGCAAGGACGAGTCGGTCATCATAAAAAAATCTGATAAAAGCAACAAATTTGTAGCAATGAAAATGACCACTTACCTGGAGAAGGCAGAATCCCTGTTGTCGGACGAGTCCCGGTTTGAGAAAGTTGAGCTTACTATCGACCAGTGGGAGGAGGAGACCCGAAAGATACTCCGCCGAGTTTGCGAGGGATCCTTGGAAAAGGATTTATACACAGCCGTGATGCCGGGTGACAACAGCTTCCCTGAAATGTACGGTCTTCCAAAAGACCACAAGTCCAATATTCCTCTCAGACCAGTCGTTGCGGCCTGCGGCTGCCCAGTTACAAACATCTCCATAGTCCTCGAACGCATCCTCAATCAATGTCTCCAGTTCGTGCCAGCACACCTGGAGAACACTGTTGAAGCACTCCAGTGTATGAGGAGCGCGTTTCCCAACCTCAAGGCCCCGCCCGGCACCATCATTGTGACTATGGATGTGGTGGCCCTTTACCCTAGCATCCCGATTAACGATGGCATTGCAGCAGTCATGAGAGTCCTCCGACAACACGAGGGCAGCATCGATCTGTTCGGTTTCCGAATTGGGCAGGTCAAGGAGCTCCTCGCACATGTGCTGAGCTCCAACTACTTCCGGTTTGGAGCGCAGGTGTACCACCAGAAGGATGGTGTGGCTATGGGCAATAACCTAGCGCCCCCCTTTGCCATCCTGTACATGCATGACCTAGAGAGTTCGCTCTTGCGTAGTGCACCTGCCAGCCCAGTTCTGTACAAGCGCTACATCGATGATGTTTTCATTGTGTGGAACCTCGGTCCGGAACTTCTGCAGAGTTTCCTAGATCACTTCAATAATGCCGATCCTAATATTAAATTCACTCACCAATCCACGGAGTTGACTGGCTCAATCAATTTCATGGACACGACCGTCCATGGCTCACCAGATGGATCTATATCCTATGAACTATACCGCAAGCCATGTCACAGCGGACTGGTATCAGACTACAACTCGTCAGTTCCCAACCAGCAAAAGAAAGCAATTGCTTCCTCTGAGTTCCTGCGTGCCGTCCGCCTATCCTCCGATGCCGACACCCTAAAAAGAAGTGAAGAAAAAGTAACCAACATCCTAAAATTCAACAACTTCCCAGAGTCAGTTATAGTTTCGGCACGTGAACGAGCTATGCGCCCCCGACGTGTCAGAGTGCAGAATGAATACCGTGTCACCCTCAACCTACCGTTTCACACCGAGTATATCCACAACAAAATTCATAAATTACTCCGGAAGTACAAGATAAATGCCCAGCTGATTTACAGGAACCGCCGTCTAAGTTCTATGATTTGCACGTCTGCCCTCCGCAAACCACCATGCCGCAGGTTTGTAGACCCGTCCAGGCCCCGTAAACGGGGGCGGCCCAAAGCTGCTTGTGTCGCCTGCATGTCCGGTTCAGGGGCATGCACGGAGCGAAATGTTGTATACCACCTCGAGTGCAAATGTGGTGATAAATATGTCGGAGAGACGTACCGCAGCCTCGCTACCAGGACAAAAGAACACAACGACGACGCACGCAACACAGTGAGCGGCACCGCGCTGGGTGAGCATTTCGCGGCCAAGCATGCATCTGACCCATTGCCATTGGGAGCAACGGCTTTCTCAGGTATCCGGGTTCTTGGTTCTGAGCGTGACCGCCCCAGGAGGAGGATCCGGGAAGCCATCAATATCAGGGAGCGATCCCCGGAAATTAACAACAGTGGCTGGGATCTGCTATAACACCACCTTACTGCGAGTGGCGCGGGGCTCTAGACACCTCACTGGTGGTGTGAGACTGGAACTGGGCTGTTATCACTGCTGTAGCGCAGTATCTACTTTCCTCGCCGTTTGTGCTTGTGTTGTCATGTATATGTAGTAATGCACACCCGCCATGACGTGCTTTGCACTTCTCTACGCGCGCTGTCACTATGTACCGCGCTTTGCTTGCTTGCCTCCTTCTTTTATACTGCTGTTCTTTCCATGTCCACTTCATTCCTGATGATGGTCATAAAGACCGAAACGTTGTAACGATACCAATGGATTTGTGTGAAATGCAGTGCTCTCTTGAGTGTAGGTAGGTTGCCTGCAAACAATTCAAACATAGTCTTTACCATATCAAAAAGTATTCTTTCTAGACCAAAGAGTGGTATATTTGATAACATTTAATAACGATATCGTCTATCGTTATTAAATGTTATCAAATATACCACTCTTTGGTCTAGAAAGAATACTTTTTGATATTACAATGAGAGTGAATAATCAACGGCTTGTCCACCAACTCATAGTCTTTACCCCCGGGACGACAACTATGTGCACGTCCTGCAAGGGGAGAATGTCACCAGCGACATCAACGAAGACGACGGCAGTATTTCGGAAACCTGGAGTCAGCGGAGGTCGTCAAGCTCCTCCGCGACCCGGTACATGTACAGTATACATGTAGGTGACATGTCGACACGAGCGTGCGGAAACACAGCATACACTGTAGTAATGTTGCGAGAGTTTGCGGAAGGAGTCCAAGCCCGCGCGAGTCGGGAAATCCATCAGCTCCAAAAGCTACCTGTAGGTGGGCGATGAGACTCCAGCTTCAGACTACAACAGTCAGGACTTGTAAATAGTTGAACTTCGTGAAGCAGCAGATCGAGAAGTTAGCTGAAATCGTAGCTGTTGCAGTATGTCGGCGCTATGTAGCTTGCATTTTTTACGGAGAGTCGATCGCCACGCGAATGTTTCTCTCCTCACCGAGAGCTATCTGGCCTCCAAACTCCGTCAGGGTCTGCCTAAGGTACCGAAGGTCCTTTGACTAGCTGCTGGCAGGACTCCATCAAATCCTTTAGCTTCAGCTCGGCGAGCAAAAGTCTCTCTCTCCTCCGCCATGAGCTGACACACACAAACTGAATACAAAACGATGCACTTCACACGTGCTGGCTTGCACGCGTGCCCCCTTTCACGAACCCAGACAATCTTTTCGGGATTGGTCTATTCGTCGATCGTCGCCTTCTTCTGTGCCACTTCACCGTGTTCACCACGGTGTTCACCACGGTTCACCATGATTCAGACATGATTAGGGGACAAAGTGCACGAAAAACTGGCGCGATGTGTCAGGTAGTAGTTGTGTTGTTCAATGACTGGTTGACAATGTATGACTCTGAGTCTGACTGCGTAGATTTTAGAGCGTTGGACCTTTTAGGCTTTGACAGTATTATGATTATGTTACTTTAGAAACAGCCGCGTTGAATGTTTGTATCATAATAATAATCTTGGGTAGCAAACCTCGGACCGCTTCACAGCAAACTCCTGGGTAGTCTGCTTGTGAACGTGTTCATCTCTCTCCTGTTGGCAACACATTGTAGTGAAACATCTGAGCGTTTGTCAAGCGCTTGCAAACGCAAGTCAGTTAGCACTCCAGCTCTTGGCCATTGCACTTAGTTGGTGGAGGATGGGCTCCAAATGGAAGAGCGCTATTCTGCTCCGCCAGTTCGTGTGGATTTTCCTCGTGATGGCATTCATTGGACTGTCAAGTACAACGGCAGCAGCCCAGAGGACGAATGGACAACAGTCCGGCCAGGACTCGGACACCTCGAGCAAGGTGGGCGACTGGTCACCGAGTAAAGTGCACTTCGTGTCGTCCTGTCACCTGGACGTCGGGTTCGCTAACACCGCTACTGCGATCGTCAACTTGTAAGCTAACTGAACTGTGTCTAAAACACGAACACTAGCAACTAACCATTATAATTATGTGTACCTCGCTTGCATTGCCACGACACCGCAAAATAACTTTCGCCATAATTCGAATTCAGTGCAGTTTTGAATGGAGCTTGATTCAGAACAATAATTAGATGGGTCGTAGGTCGACTGGTTTTGTGACATTCCGGGACAGTGCCCTACCGATTAGGCTACGGGGGATCACACACACCCGTGGATCCTTCTTGCTACACTACAATGCAAGAGGGCTTGATAGAGATGGCGTCGCAAGTCGTAAGCAAACACAATTAATAACGACTTCTGGGTGAAATTGCATGACGCCGCCCCCTGCCATCAGACAGCCACCCTTCATTGCTCTAGTAGCACTGTCGTGGACATGGAAATCCGGTCGGAGGTCAAGCGGCCCCAGCGCACTGACCATGCAGCCGTGAGCACGCTTACGGTACACACATGCAACGTTCTGTACGCACTGAGGGTGCAGGCCCCAGGTCAGTCAACGGGATTTCCATGTCCACGACAGTACATCTCCATGCGCTCGTGTTGCAGTGGGCTCTGATCTCGTGTTGCAGTGGGCTCTGATCTCGTGTTGCAGTGGGCTCTGATAGAGACAGGTGCTCTCTAAATGTAGGTGGTCTCTAAGACAGGTGTACTCTGAAGGAAGGTGGTCTCTAAGACAGGTGTACTCTGAAGGAAGGTGGTCTCTAAGACAAGTGGTCTCTAAGACAGGTGGTCTCTAAATGCAGGTGATCTCATATCACAGTGGTAACTGAAGACTGCCAGGTTTTCTGTGCGTTGGCTGCGTTTGTTGCAGATATTTCAGCAAGTACTTCCCGTCGGCCATCAAGACGGCTGAGGAGCTCCGACAGGCTGGTGGTGAGGAGAGACTTGTGTTCCTGACTCACACCTATCTAGTGTCTCTCTACCTGGACTGCCCACCAAATATGGGCTTGTCGTGTCCCAGCGATGCTGCAAAACAAGAGGTGAGCCGCGTGCTAAGTTATAATGGGGTGCCGGCTTGTATTAGATATGGCTGGGGAGTGATGATGCCGTGGCACCGCAAGGTGCACTCACAATCACAATTATTGGTGGCCCAGCTAGGGCGACTAAGACTCGCTATTGCCGATAGTCACTGACGTGTACATGATTAAACTCTGTGCCCATGTGAGATGGGGAGGGGGGGGGGGGGGGGGGGAAGTATGAGGTGGAATAATTGAAATTTCCAAACCATGAAATCATATTTTAGGTGGTACGACTCGTACTCTGTGGCATCAAAAAGTACCCGAAATTTAGAACCAGCTGAAAGCGCGTGGTGTATGGCTTGAATGCCATAAGCTTCTGAGTTTTGCAGCAGATTGATCACGCTCTAATGAATTTGGGTGTTATGTCCACTTATATTTTATACTCTGGATAGGGGGGGGGGGGGGGGGTTGCAGGGACATACATGTACATGTTTCCTGGGCCGGGGGCAGAGACATTCAAAGTGGTTACCAGCTATCTACTAATCTAGACACAACATACATGTAGCTGGTGTCAGCCCTCAGCCCTCAGCACAGTACTAACTGTAACACTGTTTACAACATGCAACATTGATGGAATCATCTGCTTCACATGCACACAATGACCAGTCAGCCTAAGCCACTGGTGTGATGTCATCATGACATCACCACTGATGTGATGCCATCATGACGTCATGACATCCCTACTCTCATGTACTGCATGTAGTATTATACTGGTATGCGTTACCGCTACTGCTGATGCTGCTGCTGCCGTTGCTGCTGCTGCTGCCGTTGCTGCTGTTGCTGCTGCTGTTGCTATAGCTGTTGCTCGTGTTGCTGTTTCTGCTTACACCGCTGCCATCGCTGGTGGTGGTGCTGTTACTGTTATCGTTGTTGTGTTTTCCGGTGGTGCTGGTACTGATGTTGCCATGGCTGGCGTGTGTGTGTGTGTGTATATGTGTCGTACCTGCTTAGTTCACAGAGGCCGTAATGCGCGGTGACATTGTATGGCACGCCATGCCGTTCAACTCCGAGCTGGCCGTCCTGGACCCATCCATGGTGGACTTCAGCATACAGCTCACGCACGACCTGGACGCCAAGATGAAACGCAATTCGACCATCACGATGAGCCAGAGAGACGTACCGGGCACGACCAGGTCAGTAACCATGGTAAACATGGCCACATTGCCATGGTAAACATGGCCGTGTTGCCATGGTTAGTAACTCACATGTGATTGATCATAGAGGATATCACTTTGCTATATGACAGATAGCAGGCATGCTCGATTCGAACGAGGAGAGGGAAACGGTGTAAATTGTACATGGATTCTTTCTCTTAGGAAGTACCGTTGTGTCTTGTCCTTTAAAAAACCTGTCTCGTATAGAAGCCTGTTTTAAATACAAGCCTGATTATCAAGATGCACCATCGGCACAATGATGTCATACGCCTGGTTTTAGTGTTGATATACAAAAAAAACCAGAAATACTCGATGTGAATAGAAGCCTAGCACTGACATCGGCTTCTACGGTAATAAAAAAATAAAAATCACGGTTCGCGTGAGACTCGGCTGGAAACCGAGTTTCCGCATCCGTAGGAACACCACCACCCTTCAAGGATCAAGGCGCAGATGCAGCTCCTAATGCGGTGGGAGGTGAGTAGATCAGCTCACCAGCAAGTGGTCAATGACCGAAAATCCCATTCACTGCATCCATGTTCTCCTCGTGCCAGGCCATGAGTTCCCAATTAACTGTGGGTCGCAGCACGGCTGGAAAAAATCCTTCCGCTTCCAAGCAGGACTTGAACCTGCGGGAATAAGCCCAGCTTTAATACGTGACATTACGGTAGTGTAGAGCAGACCTGCTCTTTCCCCATTCACTCTGCAATAGTATCAAACTCGTTTTATCCATTTTTTGCAACGTTTCGGCAAAATTGCCCTCATCCGATTTGCGATTCTTTTTCTGTGCCGGTCAGGTCCATCATACCTATCCTGAAGAAGAGAGGGGTACAGGCCATCACGGTCGGTGTTAACGGGGCGTCCATGCCACCGGCCGTGCCCAGTGTCTTCCGCTGGCGTGACGCTGTCAGTAACGAGGAAGTGCTGGCAATGTGGCATCCGGGCGGTTATGGTGGACAGGTCAGTGCTGTAGGCACGATGTGCATGCTCTAAACCGATTCTTACAGTCAGGGGCGTCGGAAGGTATTTTAGTGTGGGGTACGGTCAGCCATCTGAAGTACTATTTACTCGTGGGGGAGGGTTGCTGAGTCAATTTATTTGGAAATTCAGAGCCCAAACCAGTGTGTTTTATTGATTCATGGAGTGACTGGGGCAAAAAGTGGTAGTGACCGTAATGTGTGCGACGTCCCTGTTACTGTTCACATCACTTTGCATGGGTATACATGTACGCTTCTTATTCGGAGCATGTCATGGTGCACGGACGTACTGTAAGTCAGCACATATTCACCACATATTTATTTTCGGCTATTTTCGCCCTGGTCATATTTGGCCGAAAATGTGTTGCGGCCGAAATTTTGTTTTGCAAGGTTCAGTATGACAGTGTATACAGGCAGCAGCAGTACAGGCCGAAATTTTGTAGACTTACAGTCCTGTAGAATGTGTCAAGGTGACCGCTCTGATAAGGCGACCACCTGTCCTAGAGGACCACTATAGAGATACCGGATGCCATTTCCACGTGGGCCACCTTGGATAGGTAGACGACCTGTACACGAACACAGCATTTGTAAGGTCGTTGGACGGTCGTCGCCTATATAGACAAATTTCACTGTACATCATCAATCGAGTGTGATTTCCCGCACGAATACATTGGAACAAACGGCTCAAACCTGAAAATGGTTGGGGAGCTACTTACGATGCGGAAAATATGGTACTCAAGTCCACGTACAGTGAAACCTGTCTAAGACCACCGCTCAAGGGACCTGAACAAAAGTGGTCTCTGTTACCAGGCGGTCTCCTTATCCAGGGTCATTTGACTGGAAGTAGCATCTCTTGGTCCTGGTGTCAGTGGTCTTCTAGCACAGGTGGTCACCTTATCCGAGTGGTCGCCTCTACAGGTTTTACTCTACTAGTATTAAGTAGTGTTCCCCTTACCTACTGTGCTCACAGAGCTGACGTATGTTCCGATCCACACACCTTTTGTGAATACAGAGCTGCTGCAGCGCTTCCGATGCGGTGGTCATCGATGGAGTGGAGGATGCGCTCGTCTTTGGGGTGCGCGGTGACAACTCGGGACCTCCGTCTGCCGACGAATTGAAGAGAGACTGGGCCAAGATCAAGGCAATGTTCCCGAATGCAACGGTCAGTAGCTGTGACTCTGAGCCATGGACTGTATCATTCTCAGGGGCGTAGTGGGTCCCCTTATATGGGGTGCACGGCCGCATATATGTAGGATGGCTTGTGTATGTCCTTTATGTGTGTCCAGGGATGAATTTACTGTCATATTTTTGCATAGCAGTTTCTGCTATACAAAATCACAATTGTGTAGCAGTCTTTGATTTTGATTAGCATTTTTCTTTGAAGGTTGGGTGTTTACCACATTATCCTTCTTGAGAGTGATGCCTGAAAGCCCATTTGCAGAAAAAACGACTGAAGCGTACATGTGCACCCAGATTGAGAGTACCTGCACCACATACACTGCACTGTATGCATGTTACTTGACAGTGCAAACTAGGCATAGATAGCCTGTATGTATCGCACTTTTCTGCGAGTCATGGTGACTTTTGAGTAGCAGTAGATCAATTTTGCATCGCAAACTGCGATGCGATACAGGATAAATTCATCCCTGGTGTCCCATATGGTGCAATGGTATGTGCAGCGATTTCCAGTCGATAGGTTGGGGGTTCGATTCCCGACGATTATGGTCACATACGTCTTTCTTCTCTTTCTCAGACTCCTCCTGACCTTTCTTTCATTCTCCTGGGTGGTTACCAACAGCAAGTGCATGCCGGAGTATGTGGTGTGATGTGTGTGCGGGAAAAAAATGAAAGAGACCGAACATTAGGGATGCACTGGCCAGAAAAGGCCACTTCATAGCTGTGTGGTGTAGACCAGGGTGAATAGTGGCGGTCAATTCTTCAGTCTTGCAAGCTGTTTAATGGTGCAATCCTAGCACATGTTCCTATGGCTTCTGCTGTAGCATTGCTGTCATCGCCTCTGGTGATGGGCGTCAAAGGATCAGTGGTCCTTCGTGGTCATTATGTGCGTGCTGGACCTAGGTCGAAATTTTTAGGGGGGTGCACGTGCCCCCGTGCTCCATACGTGCTACGTGCCTGTTTTTGTTAATCTCAATTCTGTAGGATCAAGCTTGTTGGCATAGTGTTGAAGAAGTTAGAGGTTCGTTCGGCTCCATTCTGTCTCCTCTTTTTAATACGTAGATATTCCTCCGTGCATGTGTGTGTGTGTGTGTGTGTGTGTGTGTGTGTGGGTACACATGCCCACACGTGTGTCTGTGCATGCATCATCGGCATACACACATGCCTGGCAACACACGTGTGCTGTTTGCGTGCACAACACAGGTGGTGGCTTCCGACTACGACAGCTTCGTCCGCGCCGTCTTGCCGCAAATCGACAAACTGCCAGTGTACGATCAAGAGATCGGAGACACTTGGTCAGTAGCTCTTCTCCCCTCTTTCTGTTGGTCTTCTCTCTGATGTGCGTCTGTCATTCAGTGATCCGCATCTCATGTGCTTACCAGCCATTTCTCAATACTAGCGGTCATTCGGTCATGACTTACCGTAATGTCGCGTATAAAAGCAGATGCTTTAATACGGCCGTATAAGCCGGGGTTCAAACCGTGCTTCTATTCAAAACATGTGTCTACGTCAACATCTTCAGTCTACACTGTACAGTGGACAATGTCATACATGTAGTGCGCAAGTACGTGTGCTTCTATTCAAATTGTGCTTCTGTATCACGGCGTGTTTCGAAAAATCGGCTCTATTTGAGTCTTGCTTCTATACAGGTCATGCTGTTATACGCGACACTACAGTATGTGCATTCCTTCAAGTATCCCTGAGTGCATCAGTGTATACTTTTTTTTGTTTAAAACAGTGCAAATGCGCGGAGATGAACTGCTGTTTGTGCTCTGCATGGTCGCAGTTCAAGTTTCACGCACTCTGGATGACAGGCAAAATGTTGTCTGTGTTACATCACGCACAGCATCCTGTCTCCTGTAATCGTGTGTTGCCGCTCTCGGCAATCTGGTCCATCGAGGACTCTTTCAGGCTGCCTCGACTGGCTGCCCGATCGTCAAGAAATTAGCACAGTAGTGAGCAGTTAAGGTGTATGTGCATGCTCACCTGCCGCTCAAGCAGGTGAGGATGCATGTGCACACACCCCGCACTTTACCTGCTGTGCCGCACCAAGCACTGTACGTCATAGTTTGATTCTGTGTTTCCATAGCGACTGTTGGAGTTGTATGGATCCAGTTGTCCCAAACTCTTCTCTCCATTCATTCTTGACAACCATCAATTGTCCATCACTGAAGCGAGGGTTCTTTTTTTCAATTCAAGGAGCTTCGAAGTGAAAATTCGCCCAAGCCCAATCAATATGGTACCACTAGCCCGGCCTAATGGGCATGTCGTGTTGTTGTGGTTCTTAGTCCAGTACTCTTGCTTTGCTGTTCTGGTGTTCAGGATCTATGGAGTTCCGTCGGATCCATGGAAAACTGCTGCATCGCGAGCAATAATGGCAGCAAGGTCGGCGTGCCTGGAGCAGAAGAAGTGCTCCTTTGACGATAGCGAGTAAGTCAGTGATTGGTATGCGCCTAGACACGGCTCTGTGTGTGTGTGTGTGTGTGTGTGTGTGTGTATGTGTGTATGTGTGTGTGTGTGTGTGTGTGTGTGTGTGTGTGTGTGTGTGTGTGTGTGTGTACGTACGTATGTGCATGTGTGTGTCTGCATGTGTGTGGTGTTGAATGGTGTAATCCCAGCACAAGTTGCTATGTCTAACATAGCTGTTCGCTATCATCGCTTCCGTGATGGGCATGTCTGAGTCTGAGTCTGAGTGTATGCGTGTATGTGTGTGTTGTGGTGATGACTGTACTGCTGTAAGGATGAAATAGCGCTCGCAAACCGAGTCTACAAATGCATCATGAATACTTCCTGTCATATGAGATATTCGATACAGTACAACCTGTCCTAACCGGACACCCTTGCCTTGGTGCAGCGGAAACTCTCCTGATATGACAGGACTCCACTTGATCCAGGGATGCACGTTCAATCACCAGCACGTTGGTGCATGACAGTTTGTCGGGTGAATACAGGAGTCCGTTTGGTACAGGATCCGGAAAACACAGGTTTTACCCGTACTGTATACACTGTCGCGAATGGCACCACCATTCGCGAATCCTTCTTGTACAGTACTATAGTTGTAATATATTCAGCCGCTTATGTCTATCTAACTCCCATATACTTCAAAGTAGGATCCGTGCCCCTTATGGATCCACGCCCTGTATGGATCTGCGCCCTGTATGGTTCTGTGTCCGTTATGTCTAGATTCCATTATCGGACCTATGCACGCTCGTACGTATGTTTGTACATACGTACATGTCTCACTTATAGTGCTCTAAATCTAAACATAGATAAAACCCACATTCGAGCATTCCGTAACTATTCAGCCTGTACTAGGCACTTGTTTATGGTGTCTCTTCCATGCGCGATCTTCATACGCACTGTCTGTGTCGTTGTGCTAAGAACAGTTACATTGCCACGGAAGCTAGTTACGTTACCTTCAGCATTGACTTCCGTGCACGCTGCTCTGCATACTTCACGCCTACACTTCGAATACAGAAACGTAGTTTGTAACCCCTTTACCCCCTTTTGGTGTATTCTATTTGTTGTATTGCTGCGCGCACACATTTCAGCCCGCGCGCATGCTTTGGTCGTTTGTGTATTTGGTGTATTGCTGCGCATACACATTACCACCGGCGCATACACATTACTGCCTGCGCGCACGCTTTGGTTTAGCTGTGGTATACAGCCACTTTCTTTATTCTTTCCTTTAGACCTCATGGTGGTCGCCACGTAGTTTGGTTTGTCCGCAACCAGCAATTACAGCAGTCAACAGTATACCAGTGTTCTTGTAGCCGATATGCTCTCCCAATCAAAATCAGTTTGACATTATAACGTCTCGGCTACAAACTGGTGCCGAAACCCGGGATCATGCCAGGACCTAAGTTTTCTGGTACCCTCTATTTACGTCGGAGTAAACTACGCAAGTTGAAAACCGACATCGAGAAGAGTCTCGTAGATGCTGAGGTGCTCGCTAGAGAAATCGAAACGACGACCAGTGACAGTGACGATAGTGACTCAGCGCGCGCTGTTTCCGAATATCAACAAAAGCTAAGTAATTTGTTAGAAGTTGTGCAACTAGATTTATGTGCATATGATGATGCTTGTGAAGATGTTGCTAGCGCATTAGAATCATTGGATCTGGAGGACTCTGAGGAGGACAGAATGAGTGAGATCTCGTCATACTCAGACAACTCAATCCTATGGAGCAGAACAGCTCAAACACTCAGACGATCTCTTCACCTGTCCTCGCAGAGTACTCCATCCACTCGTGTCAAGTCTGAACCTAGAACTGACGGCAGTTCTGCCACTCAATCCGATGCAATTGAACAGCAAATCAAGCAGCTAATCCAAATTAGCCAAACCACACAACAGCAAACACAGATGTTCATTGCTGCCCAAACAGCCATGGCAAATCAACAACAGCAATACATACAGCAAAGCCAGTCGACAGTTCTAACACAGAACACGCCAGGCAGCAGCACATCTCAACAGCATACCACAAACCTGCCAAAGTTGCACATCCCAAAGTTCTCTGGAGATATACTTAAGTGGTTTGAATTCAGCGACATGTTCAAAGCATCGATTGCCGCCCGTAACCTATCGGACGTGGAGAAATTCTCCTACCTAAAGAGTCTCTTAGAAGGTCCTGCCCTCGATACAATTGCAGGCTTGCCTTTGTCCAGTGCCAATTACAAGGTGGCCGAAACACTGTTATCTGATCGTTTCGGTAAAAAGCAAACATGCATAAATGCACATTACACTGCACTGCGGGATCTGCAGGCAGCCAGTAACCAGACAACATCACTTCGTGCCTTGATCGATCAGGTGGATATCCACATGCGCAGCTTGGAAGCCCTAGGAGAAAACATCACTCAGGCAATATTTATATCCATTATCACCAACAAATTGCCACGTCACACATTGGCACAGCTAGAGCTAAAGAAGGGCTCATTGGATTGGACTGTGACCAGCTTATGCACTCACCTTCGAGAGTATGTTGTAGCCCATGAAGCTGCCGACCGACAATCATCGCAGCAACGCTCCGACTCAGGTCCTTTCACCTCCAGTAGCCGAGTCAGTGACCCGATCACTTCGTCAGCCCAAGTCTTGGCAACTTCATCCACCGCCAAAAAATGTGTGTTCTGCAAAAAATCGCATTTTTCTGATGAGTGCCAAGAGTACCCTGACATCGAATCACGGAAAAAACAAGCAAAGGGCCACTGCTTTCTCTGTCTTGGCGCTGGCCATAGCACTGGTTCTTGCAAAAGCACTCGTTATTGCTATCATTGTCGAAGTTATCGACATCATCGTAGTCTCTGCCCGGACAAGTTTGGTCCAGCCGCAGGTGACGCCAGTTCACCACAATCTTCTAGGGTAGCTGCTTCACCCACTAACACACTACACACCATTACATCGGTCGCAGCACAAGACCAGCAGCAAGATGAAATTTCAACATGTACAACAGCATGTACACCTACCTCCAACACAATCATGCAAACAGCACTTGTCACACTGATCAACATGAACACATGTGATGGTACGGAACAGCAACCACTGCAAGCCCGATTACTCCTCGACACGGGTTCAAACAAATCCTTCGTGTCACAGTCCTTTCAAGAGAAAGCCAGGTTTACCGTACTTGGACAGGAGAAGCTACTGATCGGTAGTTTCGGCAGTAAGAAACGCAAATCAGTTGACAGCGATGTTGTCCGCGTCACCTTTTCCACAACTGATGGGTCATCTTTTACAATGGTTGCCAACACCCACCCACAGATCACCGCTCCTGTACGTCAGTGGCCAGTGGATTCCAAACACCTTCCCACCTTGAAAGGCCTTACTCTAGCAGAGCCTCTATCTGACGCATCACACTTACCTATCGATATTCTGATTGGTCTTGATCATTATTATGACATAGTAGGTGATCAGCATCTCCGCCTAGGCGACGGTATGATCCTTCTTCAGTCTATTGTCGGATTCATCCGCACAGGTCCAGTCTCTTGCCAGACCACTCAGCCGAGTAGTCCTTTGGTCCTCTCATGTGACGCACAGCCCGAGATTGACATCAGTCGGTTTTGGAATCTTGAAGAGATTGGCACGGTCACAACTTCCAGTAGCGACACTCAAGTCTTAGACCAGTTCCGTCAATCCGTGTCTATTGACTGTGGTCGTTACGTTGTCTCTTGGCCTTGGCGCCCGGGTCGACCGGAGCTACCTGAAAACTATCACCTAGCTTTCGGTCGTCTTCGTTCTCTCATGCATAAACTGCAGGGAAAGCCAGATGTCTTGCAGGCGTATAACAAAGTCCTTGCAGATCAACTTACCGCGGGCGTCATCGAAGACATCCCCGTCGACAAACCCAAGTGCTTTGCCATTCGGCACTATCTGCCCCATCACTGTATCGTCAAGTCTGGCCACACTACTACGAAACTTCGTGTAGTGTACGATGCTTCAGCAAGAGCTTCAACTTCCGCACCCAGCTTAAACGAGTGTCTCTATCCAGGTCCGCCGTTGCTTCCGGACTTGTGCGGTATACTTCTCCGTTTCAGAACATCGCCAGTCGCTATATGTAGCGACGTAGAAAAAGCCTTCCTCCAACTTTCACTTCAGGAATCAGACCGTGATGTGACCCGATTTCTTTGGCTACATGACACTACGAAGCCCGTGGTCACAGACAACATTCGCGTCTTTCGCTTCACTCGTGTGCCCTTTGGCATAGTCTCTAGTCCGTTTCTCTTAGCTGCAACGTTAGATCATCATCTACGTCAAGATGGCAGCGCCGATGCCATGCAAACACTTCGGAACACTTACGTGGACAACGTACTTATTGGCAAAGACAGCGTTGCAGACGGCATCACCTACTACCGTTCCGCGAAGCAGCTGTTTACTGAGGCTGGTATGAACCTCCGTGAATGGTCTTCAAACTCATCCGCGTTCCTCGATTCAGTAGACCCGTCTGATCGTGCAACTGCTACAACACAGAAATGTCTAGGTCTTCTGTGGAATCCTGCGGCTGACACCCTTGCAATCTCACCCGTCTCTGTGAGCGAACTTGTAGTGCAGACAAAGCGCCAAGTTCTTCAAGCCGTCTCCCGATGCTTCGATCCTCTCGGTATTGTTTCTCCAGTGATAGTATCTTCCAAAGTACTCCTCCAAGATATCTGGAAGCTCAACCTAGGCTGGGATGACCAGCTCCCCACGGACATACTGTGTCGTTGGTCCTGTCAGGCACAGGAGCTTGACAGTTTGGGTAACATAGCGTTCCCACGGTTCATTGGACCACTACCGCAGTCCACCACCCAGTATGAATTACATGTATTCGTCGATGCCTCTGAAGCTGCCTATGCCGCCGTTGCGTATTTACGCATGACAAACCAGTCAGAGTCGAGTGATTCCGACGCTTCGGTTCAGCTTGTATTCAGCAAGTCTCGCGTTGCACCGGTCCAAGCGGTCACCATCCCCAGACTCGAGCTGCTCGCTGCTCTCATCGGCTCGCGTATGGTCTCTTTCTTACGATCCGAATTAGCCATTGACATCGCCACGGTCGTGATGTGGAGTGACTCGTCCACAGTTCTCCACTGGATCAACTCATCTAAACGGCTGCCCACCTTCGTTCAGAACCGTGTCGATGCCATCAAATCAGTTCCCGACCTCACTATTGGATACGTCCGCTCGGCAGATAACCCTGCAGATCTCCCATCGCGTGGAGTCACAGCGTCATATCTCCAAGCCTCGTCTCTATGGTGGCATGGTCCAGAATGGCTGAAGGTCGCCTACACGGTTACAGCTTTGCCGCCCGGGGAGGGTCCTTCGCATCTATCTCAGGAAGTTCCAAATCAGGGTTCAAAAGATTCTGTGGTCCATTGCCTAGCCAACTTGTCACAAAAGAAAAAAAAATCTGATGCACATATTAACCCACCATTTGGCATTGATTACACTAGGTTTTCATCATTTAGTGCCTTAGTGCGTGTGTCTGCACTCTGCTTGCGTTTCCTGTCCAGATTACGCAAAGCCGCTGAGTCACCATCTGGTCCTGTCACTACGTCAGAAATGAACCGAGCTGAACAACTCTGGATGAAGTACATCCAAGCCACTGCATATCCCAACATAATCGTGGCACTGCAGCTCGGCACACGACACCAGCTCGTTCACCAGCTCAACCTCTACTGCGACGATGACGGTATTGTCCGCTGCCGTGGACGGTTGGAAAACGCTGATCTCCCCAACAAGGCCAGATTCCCGGTACTACTACCAGCCGGTCACCACGTAACGAATCTGATAGTCAGACGTGCCCATCAGCTTGTGATGCATGGCGGCGTAGCGCATACCCTCTCTAAACTCAGGCAACAGTATTGGGTTCCAACTGGCCGCACAGTGGTGAGTCAGGTTGTCAGAAAGTGTCTGATCTGCGTAAAGTCAGAAGGCCGCCCATTTGCCTCACCGATGTTCCCACCATTGCCGGCGGAACGAGTCACACGCTCTCTGCCCTTCACCAACACTGGTTTAGATTACTTCGGTCCTCTGTTCATCTGGACAGCTGAAGGACATCAGAAAGTATGGGTACTCCTGTTTTCATGCATGGTCACACGTGCTGTACACCTTGAAGTTGTGGAAAATATGTCCACTGAAGCTTTCCTGCTAGCCTTTAGAAGGTTCATAGCGCGACGAGGTGCCCCAGCCCTGATCATGTGCGACAATGCACCGCAGTTCATACTGGCGCACTCAGTGATCAACGAAGCCTACCAAAAGGCTGTGAATTCCGATGTGATGTCCCAGTATTGTGCATCACTATCCATTGAATGGAAATTCATTGTGCCCTACTCTCCTTGGATGGGAGGGTTCTATGAGAGAATGGTCGGTATCACGAAGAGATGTCTCCGCAAGACCCTGGGCGCACTAAAGCTACGCCTTTCCCAGCTGCAGACAGTATTGAGTGAAGTGGAGGCAGTGGTCAACTCGCGACCGTTGACCTACGTGAGCGGCGACATCGACAACGTCCTGACACCGTCGCAGTTCCTCTCCATCAGGACATCAACCGCCCACCCGCCGTTGGTACAGCCAGATGATGCCAGTGACCCTGACTATCTACCCGGCAACCAATCTGCTGCAACGGACCTCCTCGACAAATGGAAGAAGGGTGACAGGCTGCTAAATCAGTTTTGGCAGCAATGGAGAGACGACTATTTGTCAAGCTTGCGCGAACGCACCCAACGGCAACACCACCAGAGTCGCTCTTCCAAGGTCGAGCCTAGAATTCAGTCGGTAGTGCTCATTGGCGACAATGCGCCCAGAGCAACGTGGAAATTAGCACGTATCAAGAAGCTGCACGTTGGTCCCGATGGATTGGTGCGCTCTGCCACAGTTTCGACAGCCGATGGAACTGAGCTACACCGACCCCTGCAACTTCTGTATCCACTTGAGTTTGACGACGAATGTCAGCCAACCGCTTCAACTCCCGCGCTTGACACTCATCAAGATTCAACACCTGCTGCTCACCCCAGTGACCTTGAAACACCAGCTAAGCGCCCCCCTCGTGCGGCAGCAGTGCGTCAACGTCAGGCCCTTGGCCAACTCATCCAGAATGATCTTCTTTGACATCCTGGCCCCGGAGTGTCGCGAATGGCACCACCATTCGCGAATCCTTCTTGTACAGTACTATAGTTGTAATATATTCAGCCGCTTATGTCTATCTAACTCCCATATACTTCAAAGTAGGATCCGTGCCCCTTATGGATCCACGCCCTGTATGGATCTGCGCCCTGTATGGTTCTGTGTCCGTTATGTCTAGATTCCATTATCGGACCTATGCACGCTCGTACGTATGTTTGTACATACGTACATGTCTCACTTATAGTGCTCTAAATCTAAACATAGATAAAACCCACATTCGAGCATTCCGTAACTATTCAGCCTGTACTAGGCACTTGTTTATGGTGTCTCTTCCATGCGCGATCTTCATACGCACTGTCTGTGTCGTTGTGCTAAGAACAGTTACATTGCCACGGAAGCTAGTTACGTTACCTTCAGCATTGACTTCCGTGCACGCTGCTCTGCATACTTCACGCCTACACTTCGAATACAGAAACGTAGTTTGTAACCCCTTTACCCCCTTTTGGTGTATTCTATTTGTTGTATTGCTGCGCGCACACATTTCAGCCCGCGCGCATGCTTTGGTCGTTTGTGTATTTGGTGTATTGCTGCGCATACACATTACCACCGGCGCATACACATTACTGCCTGCGCGCACGCTTTGGTTTAGCTGTGGTATACAGCCACTTTCTTTATTCTTTCCTTTAGACCTCATGGTGGTCGCCACGTAGTTTGGTTTGTCCGCAACCAGCAATTACAGCAGTCAACAGTATACCAGTGTTCTTGTAGCCGATATGCTCTCCCAATCAAAATCAGTTTGACATTATAACGTCTCGGTTACATACACAGCATGTAGGTAGGTAGGTAGGTAGGTCTTTTATTCGAATTCGCAGAACCAAACGGGCGGTGTCGCCCAATTACATGGAAGCGAATGGAAACAATACATTATTGTGATGTATACCCGACTGCTGCTGCTGCTGCTGCTGCTGCTGCTGTTGCTGCTGCTGTTGCTGCTGCTGTTGCTGCTGCTGTTGCTGCTGCCACTCGCACTGCCCAGGTTCTACAACTTCTCACGTCTGCTGGTCAAGGCCGGTGAGCACACGTGGGGACTGGACGTCAAGAGCCATCTAAATGACTATACACACTGGAGCAATGAGCAGGTGAGTGTCCTCAGTCCATTCATCTAAAACTTGCACCCGGAATGTTTGGCATCTTGCACACACTCTGATTTAGAACGAGGTCAGTCTCGCTGTGAAGGAGACAACCAATCAGTGACTCTCGCCAAGGGCCTTGTCAGGGTTTAATTAATTTCACTGGTCCTTGATGCTGCAGTTGATGCAGTTGCACGCGTGTGTTCGCCTCATTGGCCTCGCTCGTTCCTCATTTCTTTTGTTCATTTGGCTTATGCGAAGACTAGCCAAGGTTGCTTGGTAATGTCAACGCGAACAAGCGTAATAATAATAGTAATAACTATACTAGTCTCGGATGGAGAGCCAATGAATAATTTGTAAGAAAGAAAAAGGACCGAGGAACTACAAGTTACGCTATAATGTGTCATAATGTCATGGCCGCGCTTCGGCGGGTTTGTGACTTGGCTTAGATCAGTCTAGTGGCTACCCAGGTAGACGACCAATATAGTCGCCATCCAAGTTGCTAGCTCACATAGAACGACAGGTTTCTAATTCCACTTGAACAGTGTTTATTTGAACCATTGCAGTACTAGATCGAAAGATCAAGTGTGTAGAGTCAAAAGACCAAAGCAGGAGAGAGTCGGAGTGACTCTCTCAGAATCGAGAGGAGTAGTGAGCTCCCCGAGAATCGAGAGGAGTAGTGGGCTCCCCGAGAATCGAGGATGAATGTTAGCAAAACAGCTCCTTATATATGCTACATTATGTGATCAAAAGTATACAGTGGCAAGAATGCGTAAGGATTATTTCTATATTACAAACAGTGGTGCAATATGTGCAATCAGCCAAACTAGAATATAGTACAAAGAATGATCAATCAATACGGGGAGCTCGCTCACCCACATTACATGAAAGAGTTACAACTATGCGTGATGTCCGAGGTTATTCGTACGGCGATCGTGCGACGGAGCCTGGAGTACGCTGACGGATGTTGCCGCAGCTAGAGCGCGCCGCCTTCGTACGGTGTCTTGATTGGGTCACCCTTCATCTTCTGCCCCGTAGGCTCTTCCCTCTCATTACCCCGTAGGGCGCTGCACGGTCAAGCCGTGACCTCTCCCAAAAAGGGATAACGGAGTCCGCAGTGCGCGAAGCACTTGCAGGACCCTTTACGTCGTACGACGCGAGAAGAGGTGCCATGCTTGCTCGTCTAACAAAGGTATCAGCTCCCTTGCAGGACTAAGCAGGGTCCCCTCAAGCTCAACAGTGTAGTGAGTACAATGCTGACGACTTGTACTGAAGGTGTAGCCGCCGTACGACAACACTTGTGACTCGAGGCCACGAGTTGTAAGCCATGATTGCTCAACTAACGAAAGTGCCAAATCCTTCGTAGGACTAATCATGGTTCTTACAGAACTCTAGAATATTTCGGAGCCCAGCTTTTGGCTGCTGAACTCAATGCATGGTCGCTTTCACGACGAGTCTGATCCGGGTCATGACAATTCCCCGGCCTCTCAAGAATCACGTCCCCGTGATCTCAAAGGCTAACGTTAAAGTCAGCGAGTCGTGACGGTAACCGCCCAGCTCTCGTTGGCCAAGCCAACTGGTTCTGCACCGTAACAGGTACGGGCATAGAGTACGAAATGTGGCTCCACAGGCGGGACATTTCCATCAAAAAAATTCCAACTTCAAAATGAAACTGGTACTGCTCCACTATCGTAGAGATGAGCCTGGTGCTGATGATCAACACGCAGCTTGTCATGTACAACTAAATGCACGTTGCAAATCTTCACGCAAAGCGTATACGTATGACAGTTCGCCATTTCGTGTCATCTCAGATGAATGTAGACCATAGGCCATAACGTGTGGTCGACACACCCTTCTACCAAGTAGGTATCCGGTTCAGTACAAAAACTGCTGCAGAGCTCCAGGAGCCATTTCATAGATTTGGTGGTATCCAACGAATCGGTTCCACCCACACTCCACCCATTACAAAAGACCTTGGCGACCTCGCCAAGACTCCACGGTAGGTTCATTGCTGCCAGCAAGGACAGACACAATGGCATACGCCTAGTAGCCTGTGCAACAGGACCACGATCACGTGTCTCAATTTTGTAGTGTAGCACCGAAGTGCGATCAAGCTCAGATGGGTTCAAAGCGAACGCATCTCGATACCGAAGCACTAAGGCTTGCAAGCAGTGGATCTCCTCGCAGGAGATACCAGATTGTCCCAGAGATGTCTCATTACCATCTCTTCTGACCCCCACTTCCGTGTGTTCCAGGTCCGAGTCCAGCTCGTCCACACACCTAGGCTCCAGGATCGAGTCCAGCTCGTCCAACCTACAGGCTCCAGGGTCGAGTTCGTCCTCGCCCAACCTCAAAGGTTCCATGGATGAGTTCGTCCTCATCCAACCTTTCCGGGGGTCCACAACCGGACATCTTGCGCCAATGCGCAACTGCTTCCAGACCCCGAGAGAGTCCTCCGTCTCAGCTATTTGAACTGATTCCTCTCCCTGGCCATCAGCCAGAGTGTCTTCGGTCACGATGCTCATGACCTCAGATATTGGTTCTAACCGACCAATCTGCATTGCCCTCTCTAGAGCCACTGCCTCGTCAGAGTAATTCAACACCCGTACGGGAACACCATCCACCGTAGGGCTCACTAGCGCATGCGCCATCATGACATCATTCATTCCTTGAAAACACCCATCAGGTATCGTCAAGGCACAGGTCGGCAACCCTTCCGACGTGTCTAGCACGGCGTTAACCGTCACCTCCGAAAAGGGAGTATCACTTCACGCCTCCGCAAGCGAAGAACGTGCTCTCGTTTGCCGTCACCATCATGGTTTGGCGGAACGACGTCAGCTTTAGAAGCTTTAAAATGCAGTGCTCCACCACCCGAAGTGATCTCGCAAGGAATTGGGACAGCACCTCGCGTCCAATGTCAGAACCAGTAACCAACATCATACTTAGTACGTGACGAAACACCACAGGGTGCGGACGTCGCGACATATCCGACACCAAACAGGCATCGTCCAACACAGAAATGCTGGTTTCAGGTGGGCATCAGCTCACTAGTGATTTCCATCACACTCCAATCAAAACATTTGAGATCCGCATCAGCGAACTCAAATCAGCAGTTGTTCAAGCTCTCTGCAGAACTTGTTACTGTAGCATCGTTTCAGCCAGCATCTCAACTGGTGCGCCCAGTTTCAAAATCTGGCTTCGTGACTCCGTCACACGACAAGGACATAGTCCTCTTGACTGTTTTTGAACCGTCAAAGTTCAAAAGAACAGCAACACTCCTCAACTGCAGCTGAAGTTGAGGGCAACGTAGAAGCTAAGCTTCATGCAGTCATCGATCCTGCCACTGCAAGACGACTCTAAAAGTCTAAAAGCATTTCGCTTCTCGAGCAGTTTCTGTGCAAGCGCTGACAAACAGCAGAGTTTCCTCATTGCACGTCCTTGCAAGAACCTCCGTGGGTTCGAACAATGCGCCGTCTACACCGCAAATCGAGTGCAGCTGACACATATCTCAGACCAACAAGTGGTGCGGGAGTCGAAACTCTCGTCGGCGGCATGACCGACTTTCGCCAGGTCTTCCGGAAAAAAAAAGTTGGCACGCCAACTAGTAGCAACAGCTACAAAACAGAACGAGTTCACGTTCCATGTGCACGCACTCAGACAGAGTGTTCAACTGAACGGACCAAGGCCAGAACAGAACAAACAGTTCGCTGCCGAATCCACTTGAGAACTGCATGCAGCCTCGTGAAATCGACATCAAATTCACACCTCTGCGTGCTCGAGTAAACAAGAGCTCAGAGTTCAGCATGGACCAGTGCACACCGAGTTACGACTACTCTGCCGGAGCAACAGCAAGACGCAACTTGGATCCTGGTCACAGCCCCAAATGTCATGGCCGCGCTTCGGCGGGTTTGTGACTTGGCTTAGATCAGTCTAGTGGCTACCCAGGTAGACGACCAATATAGTCGCCATCCAAGTTGCTAGCTCACATAGAACGACAGGTTTCTAATTCCACTTGAACAGTGTTTATTTGAACCATTGCAGTACTAGATCGAAAGATCAAGTGTGTAGAGTCAAAAGACCAAAGCAGGAGAGAGTCGGAGTGACTCTCTCAGAATCGAGAGGAGTAGTGAGCTCCCCGAGAATCGAGAGGAGTAGTGGGCTCCCCGAGAATCGAGGATGAATGTTAGCAAAACAGCTCCTTATATATGCTACATTATGTGATCAAAAGTATACAGTGGCAAGAATGCGTAAGGATTATTTCTATATTACAAACAGTGGTGCAATATGTGCAATCAGCCAAACTAGAATATAGTACAAAGAATGATCAATCAATACGGGGAGCTCGCTCACCCACATTACATGAAAGAGTTACAACTATGCGTGATGTCCGAGGTTATTCGTACGGCGATCGTGCGACGGAGCCTGGAGTACGCTGACGGATGTTGCCGCAGCTAGAGCGCGCCGCCTTCGTACGGTGTCTTGATTGGGTCACCCTTCATCTTCTGCCCCGTAGGCTCTTCCCTCTCATTACCCCGTAGGGCGCTGCACGGTCAAGCCGTGACCTCTCCCAAAAAGGGATAACGGAGTCCGCAGTGCGCGAAGCACTTGCAGGACCCTTTACGTCGTACGACGCGAGAAGAGGTGCCATGCTTGCTCGTCTAACAAAGGTATCAGCTCCCTTGCAGGACTAAGCAGGGTCCCCTCAAGCTCAACAGTGTAGTGAGTACAATGCTGACGACTTGTACTGAAGGTGTAGCCGCCGTACGACAACACTTGTGACTCGAGGCCACGAGTTGTAAGCCATGATTGCTCAACTAACGAAAGTGCCAAATCCTTCGTAGGACTAATCATGGTTCTTACAGAACTCTAGAATATTTCGGAGCCCAGCTTTTGGCTGCTGAACTCAATGCATGGTCGCTTTCACGACGAGTCTGATCCGGGTCATGACAACAATGTTATCGCATGAGCTGATTGTTTAGTAACTGATGGCGTTAGTGTACATAATAGCGTAACTTGTAGTTCCTTGGTCCTTTTTCTTTCTTATGAATAATAATAGTCCTTGACGATGCGTTCAGGACATTGGATTTGCAGTTTTTGAGTTGTCGGTGCTGGAGGGACTATTTAGGAGGAATGGACAGTCAGATTGGAGTTATTTCCTAAGCAAGTAAATTTCTGTGGCTGATCAAGAGTGACCCCCAAGACCGGGGAGGGGGAGCCCATGGTAATACAAAAAATGGAATGGGTGGGTGTATGTGTAGAGCAGAAGAGAGCGGGGGAAGGGGGCGGGGGGGGGGGGGGGGGGGCTGTGCCCCTGGGCAAGGCATGAATGCACGTGTCATCATTTTCTGATTAAAAATCACATTCATTATGTGTATTTCCCATACAGTTCCACAGTGTCCAAGGCTCGGCGAAATACCTGGGCATGGTCAATGGCTGGCAGGAGCAGCGCGACTGGGCCATCAACTATGCAGTGGACGCAATGCACGAGCAGCATCCTCTCCGAGTCGACATTGAAGCTGCGCTCGACCGCATCCAGGCTGACATGCCCAGTCTGACTGGATATACCCAGGTCACAGATGTATCACAGGTACGGCCTAGGATCTTGGACTGTAAAAGCAGAAATTTTCGGTGGTGTTTCATCTTCGGTAACTTCGGTGCCGGAATTTTTTACAAAAAAATAAAGCGCAACAAAAATGTTGGCATAGTACTAGCACAAATACCTGGAAAGCGGGTTTACCGAAAATTTCCCTGCACCAAACCGCCAATTTTGGAAAAATATCGAAAACATAACACCACCGAAAATTTCTGCTTTTGCAGTAACTCATTTGTAAAAAGCAGAAATTTTCACTGGTGTTTCATTTTCGGTAACTTCGGTGCCGAACATTTTACCGAAAATAAACCCGCACCGAAATTTCGGTATAGTACTACAGTGAAACCTGGTTTTAAAAGAAGAACACTGATAAGACAAACTTTCGCTTTAGAAGAACTAGCATTCATAACTTTATTGCAGAAAACACTGCGTATTCAATGGGTATAAAAATTAATATGGATAAGAAGAACTCCCGTTATTGCAAACAAATACCACCGGTCCCTCGGTGTTCGTCCTAAAGAGGTTTAATGATAGCTTGCATAGACCTCGGTCCTACCGGTAGGACCTACCGGTAGGACCATCATACACAGACATGCTGCATGGCCTCTGTTCTAACATTGACCTAAAACCTGACCCTAAACTGTTGCTCAGGGGCTAATGAAGGAGTCCACAAATTTTAGACGTGATCGCACAAGGCATAGTACGAAATTCCATGGTAACAGCAAATGGTAACCATGGAAACGGTGTATGGAATTATGCATTCCACTGCCTTGGCTGACGAAAAAAACATTAGTACCTCACCACAATTGATGTCTCATGGTCAAAATTCACTTTGGACAGAGTTGCTAGCGTTCCGACAGGAGTATGTGCGGCCATTTTGACAATTGATAAAATTGCGCGTATGCAATGCACTGGACATAGTCTTGCATTTTGCGCCATTACTTTGCCTGACAAAACCTCATCTCAACAATTGTTTCAAGAAATTTCTCAGCCAAAAGCACTTTTGCAGCGCGATTTCTTGGGTCCTACCGGTAGGACGGCATGCAAGCTATCATTAGTACACTTACCTGGAAAGCGGGTTTACCGAAAATTTCAATCCACCAAACCGCCGATTTTGGAGAATATCGAAAACATACTGTGACACCACCGAAAATTTCTGCTTTTGCAGTAACTCATTTGATGGTGTATGACAGGACGGCATAGTCATTCTCTGCTGTTTTTAGGAATGTTCAATGTTCTTGGTTGAGAGGGTAAAGAGTGCTTTGTGTTCTTTGCATTTTTTTAGTTTCCTACCTCCATGTGTGCAGAGCGCTGAAACATTTAGCCATCACCTTGCATAGGAAGCTTACAGACTAATCTTGGGTCACCCTATTTTGAAATAGTGGTGGCGACCTCCGCAATAATTTGATAAGGAAGTCGCTTGCTCTCAGCCTGGAGCTCGTGCTTTTCCTGCCTGCTGACTTCAGGGCAAGTGTCAAGTCAGTCGGCTCCTTGGAGCTCCAGGGTGGGAGCAAAAAACTTCCTCGCTCTATCTTGGGTCACTCTATTTGCTGCTGCAGGTGTTCAAAGTCGGGACAGTTGAGATAGGCTTCTCCAAGCAACCGGCCGGTATAAACCATCTCATGACGGGCGGTGTACAGCTGGCATCCGATAGCAACATCCTGTCAGCCTTCCTCTACCAGTCCTTCGACGAACAAGATTATCAGGTGAGATTAGAACAGTCGACTCCTGATATGACGAACACCATTGTGCGGGAGAACTAGTTCTTTATAGCCGAAGTTCAGCCGAAATGCACTCACACCAAACAAGCAACACGTCCCGACTGGCATGTGGCCCATGACTGTGTGATTGGACTTGCTTTACACGCACCCCTACAGAATGCAGTTCATAATATAAACGAAAACTGTTCGCTATAACGGATCTATTTTCAAGTATACTTTGTATGGGTTCAAAGTCACTTTCAACAGGGACATGGGCACTGGTTCGCTATATCACGAAATTTCCTATATGCAAGTTCATTATAAGTGGAGTCGACTGTAATTACTCTAGACCCTAGTCAAGAAGGGATGATTGGAAGCAACTTTGATTGAGGCCGGGTAGAGGAGGGAGTTCTGCTTCCCAGACTTTCCGGTACATACGCTGTTGCACAGAGATTTGTTTCCTTGCAAGAGACGGGTTTCTTCTCGGATACAAACCACTCTGCAGGAGCCAATTCGCGTCCACCAATGAATATAGACACAGTAGAACTCTGATAAGACGCATCCCCATGGCAACGGGAAAGAGTACTGCAAGTCTACAAATGTTCGGCCCTTTCAAATTTCAGCCTCCCAGAGTTAAACCCATTTCTGGAGCATCACATTTTCGGCCTGTACTGCTGCCACCTGTATACACTGTCACACTGAACATTGCAAAACAAAATTTTGGCCGCTACAAATTTTCGGCCAAACATGACCAGGCCGAAAATAGTCGAAAATAAATATACGCTGAATATTTGAAGACTTACAATACTTAGTATGTCCAAGGTACTTCTTATCATGCCTAGCTCACTTCGGTGTGTATCAATACACCCTTACTAAACCAGAGCTAGAATTATCAGAGTACGTACTACATGCAGAGTTGCACTGCAACAGCTAAAACCTCAGATTCACCATTGTATACTCCCTTCCTTGTCTTCCAGGTGTTTATGGAGGAGTATCTGCGTATATACAAGAAGGGTGGTTGGATGGACCTGGACTTTGGCAAGCCAGGCCTGGATAATGTCACTGGAGGCAGCTCACATCAGGAAGTCTACGCTAGCATGCAGTCGTTGTGGATGAAAGACTGTGAGAGCACTGCAGTGTACTTGTGAATGTACTGATGTGTGTGTGTCTGGGGTGTGTGTGTGTGTGTGTGTGTGTGTGTGTGTGTGTGTGTGTGTGTGTGTGTGTGTGTGTGTGTGTGTGTGTGTATGTATGTGTGTGTGTGTGTGTATGTGTGTGTGTGTGTCCCATATGGTGCAGTGGTATGTGCAGCGATTTCCAATCAATAGGTTGCGGGTTCGATTCCCGACGATTATGGTCACACGCGTCTTTCTTCTCTTTCTCAGACTCCTCCTGACTTTTCTTTCATTCTCCTGGGTGGTTACCAACAGCCAGTGCATGCCGGAGTATGTGGTGTGATGTGTGTGCGGAAAAAATATGAAAAGTAGGGATCCACTGGTCAGAAAAAGCCACTTCATAGCTGTGTGGTGTAGACCAGATTGAATAGTGGCAGTCAATTCTTCAGCGTTGCAAGCTGTTGAATGGTGCAGTCCCAGCACAAGCTACTATGGCTTCTGCTGTAGCATCGCTATCATCGCCTCCGGCGATGGGCGTCCAATGGTCCAATGGTCCAATGGTGTGTGTGTGTGTGTGTTTGCGTGTTTGCATGTCTGTCCACGGCCTGTGGATATACACCTGCATGCCGAAGTAGCAGCTAACGCATCTGTATTCGGTCATGAATTTGGGTGTGGGCGTTGCTGATGGTAATTTTGACACTCTTGAGATCTTTTCGGACAGGATCGATCCAACGCATAGGGGGGCGTCCGCGAGGCTTCTTGATGTCAGAGGTGTCAGTGGGGAACATGCATACATGTACGTGCACTTTTGTATGTGCTTAGATGTGTGTGTATGAATGGAACCTCTGTGTTGAGCTGCTATGGCAATATCTCGGTAGCCATCCATATAATTATGACTTGCATGCACAGACATTGTCCTGTTCTGCCGTGCTGCATTCTCTCTCTCTCTCTCTCTCTCTCTCTCTCTCTCTCTCTCTCTCTCTCTCTCTCTCTCTCTCTCTCTCTCCCCCCCCCCCCTCTCTCTCTCTCTCTCTCTCTCTCTCTCCCCCCCCCTCTCTCTCTCTCTCTCTCTCTCTCTCTCTCTCTCTCTCTCTCTCTCTCTCTCTCTCTCATTCTCTCTGTCTGTTGACAGCTAGCTTTGTTGTGGAGGTCAGCTTCCCGGCCATGTTGGTCAGTAACTATGGAGCACCTGAACGTGCCTATCTCAACATCACTATTAGCCCAGGTACTGGCGTTGATATTCGCATGACGTTTGTGAACAAGACCGCCACTCGCATACCAGGTGGGTGCTACACAACTTCAGTATCGTATCTCCAAAGTCGTAAAATATCTATGTTGCGGGTTAAAACGATAAGAGGATGAAAAAATGTTTGAACTTATTGTTTTAGCTAGCTCTGCCTTTCGGTATTGCGCAGTCTATTGGACATATATACTCTGATAAGTTGTGATAACACACAGGCCCGCCGTGTGCGGAAGTTGTCCGAAGCACGGGTGCTGCTGTTACTACTGCTGCTGTTGCTGTTGCTGCTGCTGGTGGTGCTGCTGGTGGTGGTGGTGGTGCTGCTGCTGGTGGTGGTGGTGCTGCTGCTGCTGCTGGTGCTGCTACTGTTGCTTCTGCTGGTGGTGGTGGTGCTGCTGCTGCTACTGCTACTGTTGTTGCTGCTGTTGCTAATGCTGCTGCCCTTGCATTACGTACCAATATCCTGCCTGCCTGGTTTCTGTGTGTGCTACTGTTCAGAGTCCATGTCTCTGCAATTCAACCCGGTGGTGACAAACTCTTCAACAATGATGATGGAGAAAGTGGGCCAGCAGATATCTGTGCTGGATATAATGAAGTGAGAAGTCATCCTATGATTCTGCCTGTATTGCATTCAGCACACATGACCGCATCTGATCATTCCTCACTTTTATAATTTGGAGTAAACTGATTGGTTTACAGTAACAGACCAAGAAGAGTAAAAGAGGTTTTCTTTGAAAAATCGTTGCTGTAAGGCCTATGTACGTATGCACACATCAGTTTGCACACATACATGTGATAATTCAGACGGCACACATACTCGTATGTAACGAGGAATCTAAGAAAATGAAGGTGTCACCTGCAGTGCATGCAGTTGCACAGGAACACAAATGTCTCCTTTCACCCGCTCATGTACGTTGTCATCTTCCCTTCTCTCCCCTTCTCTTGTCTTGTCTTCTCTTTCCTTCTTCCCTTCCTCTATCCATTTTCTTCTCCACTTTTCTCTTCTCGTGTCTCTTCCCTATGATGTCCTTCACCCTGTTCTACCTGTCCTTCACCCTGTGTTCTCTCTGTCCTTCTCTCTCTTGTTCTCCACAGCAATGGCAGCAAGCATCTGCACGCCGTGGGGACTGGCGGCATGAGCTACACCTCTAACCCGGGCTTCACCGTCAGCTCGGCACACGTGGCTGTCGTATGTGTCGGTAAGCAACACGCTCTTCTAGACTTGCAGTGCTGGGCCCACTTTTCAATCTACTCCACCACATGTTTGGCCAACTCCGATTCTGATGAGCTCTGAAGGAATTGACAGTGGTCTAGGGAGAGAGGTTATCATTAATTGGAATTACTGTTAAGCCTCTTTAGGGCATACTCCAAGACACGATGGTGTTTTTTTTGCAATAACAGGAGTTCTTCCGTCTTGTCTATATTGTATACCCAGTCAATACACAGTTGTTTATCCTATCGAGTTCTTCTAAAGCGACAGTTTGTCTTGTCAGTGTTCCTCTCAATTAAGTTTCACAGCAGTCTTTCTTCTGGCAGTGGCGTGCCAGTCATGCGTGTTGATCTACAGCCTGCTGGTCTACAGCCTGCTCGAGTCTACCACAGCATCATGTTGTACTCCAAGGGGTTACAGACAAAACCAGTGGGTGCTTCATTACAGCGACGTCGGACGCGCTATGATCACTTCAGTATTGCCCATACCTCTACTTGCCCTAGGTGGCCGTGAGTCCATAAAACGACCTGATATGGGCTCTAAATTTCGAAATGTTGCAGTGGAGCCCCCCCCCCCCCCCCCCACACACACCACCGCACACACATGAGTGACGTGTACTTCAAATGGCTGACCGTGCCATTGTGAAGTACCTTCCAACGCCCCTGTGTAAGGGGCCATCCGTAATTATCGATCTTTTTCACGAAACGAAAAAGTTTCGTTTATGGGTGGGTGGGTAGCGACCGGTTTCGTTTTGAAAAAACATCGAAAGCGGAAAAATCAACGCTCACTGCATCAGTGCATGCATTGATGCATGCATACATAATCATTGTGTACATCGAAGTAGATCGACAGACAGTACACTCTACGTCGCGCGGCCAAGCAAGTGCTGCATGGATGCACTGATACCACTCTGTACTCCGTGCAGTGAGTTCCTTTCGTCCTTGGATGACTTCTCCGACGAGGACCTAGCAGTCATCATGGTCATCATGGTCATTCACTCTGGGACCGACGACGGATAGATAAATACTTCGTTCCAGCCGCCGATGCAAGAGAATTTCAAATTACGGAGCGGGGCGCACGCCAAGTAAATTCTCACGCAAAGATGGGGAGCGCCAGCCGCTGAAGACGATGTCGTCGTAATGTACCTGGAAGAATCTGATCGTGCTTATGCTGGGGAAGCCATGGAGAGTGATCCCCGTGTCGACAGTCTTCCGGAGACGGAAAATTAGGCCATCGACTTTCTACGTACCTGATTGACGGCAGCGCAGCGCGGCGTGCGTGCGACCTTACGGAGCTTTCCGACAGCGATTCTGGGGCGATGCATGCTGCTCTCATTTGCGAGCGAGGCACGACCACTGAAGTCTGTGATAGCTATGGCGTTTGTTTCCGCTCCGAAGTCGACTTGTTTTGGCAGTATCATGTCAATGTCGGGACTCTGACGATTTGCAAGTGTACAATTCCCGTGTTTAGACGTAGAGGTGCCAGCAGCGTATGTGTGTGGTAGGTGAAAAATAAATGTGTCCATGGTCAAGAAGTAGTACCAGACTTCCAAGAAAACATAACTAACGTTGTTACTTACTTGCACAATCACACAAAATGTGGCCTCGCTGTGTTGTAACAGCCAATCAAGATCATTTTCTGCACAAAGTCTCAAGTCAATTAATTTTTTCGTTTCAGGGTGGGGGTGGGTCATAACTAAACTTTTTCGTTTCGTGAAAAAGATCGATAATTACGGATGGCCCCTAAGCATGCCTGTGTGCTAGGCTAACCATTCACTTTCTCCTTCCATGCACTGCTTTCAGGTAAGCCGACACCATTTCCTGTTCCCATGGAAACACCCAGTGCGGCCGACGGATTCGCTTTCAATATCGTGAACAACATCTGGGGCACAAATTACATTATGGTGAGTTGTATTGTGCTGCTATGGTAGCCATTCAAATTACATTGTGGTGAATTGTATTTGCTGCTGTGGTGAACATTCATGTCTGATCGTTGTGCGTGTTTTCTTTTTATTGTGTGTTTTGTTTGTCATTTTTTATGAAAGTACATATATTATGCCTATATAGAATGGATGAGAACAATAACAACAACAATAGCAACAGCAAGAGAACATAGGGGACTACAAAGGGTGTGTAGGTGCTATAAAAGGCTGTTCCTTGTTACCATCACCTTGCCATAGCTGTGGGGAAGATTATCTACAGAACTGGCCAAAGAAATCCAACCTCATGAATAAAAATAGCATTGTCGGATGCTACGCAGCCGTAGTGACTACACATACTGGTCTGTGCACTCTAACGCGGCACTACTCTATCCATGAGGTTGGATTTCTCTGGCCAGCATGGTAGATAGTGCAATGTGTGTGCATGTGTGCGTTGGTGTGTGTCTATGTCTGTGTCTGTGTGTCCATGCATCGGTTGCGCCGGTATACGTGTATGTGTATGTGTATACAGTGGTACCCATATAAGGATGAGGACAAGTCGTTCAACTTTGACTTCCACATCAACCTTCCGCATGCCTAGCTAGCTCTGCGGACTCTGAAGCATATACTGTACCCACTGAATCAACGAAGGCCATGGACTAGCGTGTTCATTGACGAAAAGCTGATCATGGAGACCACGTTATAGGACACACCAGCAGGACAAGGACAAGCAATACACACAATAGCAGAAGTTGGACTTGATGCAGAATCCTGCTCTCTCCCCCACCCCTCTCTCTCTCTCTCTCTCTCTCTCTCTCTCTCTCTCTCTCTCTCTCTCTTTCTCTCTCTCTCTCTTCCTTTGCCGATGGATTGTGAAAACTCAGTCTATACCTTATCAATACTCTAGCTCAGCCGGCATGTTCATTCATCCTACTCTCCGGCTTTCACTATGATGTAGATAATTATAGATGTGAAGACAGGGTTGATTTGAAAATATTGTATTCCACGAATCATGACTGGCTTTTCACTCCTTCTATTACTTTCAAATATGGATACATGTAATACATTCAAATAACGGATATGCCTTCAGTGTGTGTTGTTACTGGTTAACCACAACACACACTGAAAGGTTTAAACAAATTCGAAATGCAAATTGTAGCTTTCACCTCAGCGTTCAGCGGATATTATGATGAGTGAATTCTATGCTTCTTCTCTCTGGGCCTGGGAAGGTTTCCGCGGCTTGGAGCGCTGCATGCCGATGATGAAAAACGCGTATTATACGCAAGTCATCACGCGCATTGCAAGCAGTAGCACCCGGCCGGGGGAACAACGATTAGATGCCAGAGCTGCAGCCTTTAGATCTACGCCAACTTGCGGCAAGACCCACTTACAAGTACATTGTACACATTGTACATGTAGTCCGACTTCAATCGACCCGCACTCAGTTCCGCACCTCCGGCCACACCTCACAGATGCACACCTCCTCTACAGGCTCTAGGCTAGCGCCGTCACCATTGCCACTCTAACACTCTTCTTCACACTCAGTTCACGTATGTGTGAACTTTACCATAGTCACTTTGAAGTAACTAATTACTTACTTCCTATGGTTGAGTTAAGTTCGCACTAAGTAAGTCAAGTAAAGAAGTTCGCAACACCGCGTTACCACAACAAATAACGGGTGTGCTGAAACACAACAGCTTAGAGAAGTTTTCGCGCGTGCCAGGCCACCATCATGCCTGACTTTACATACCACCGAGGTAGTAGATGCAGCGCCTACAGTGTAGTAAGTAAGCTCACCATAACCATGATACCAACCGATGGCATCGATGCAGAGGTCTTCAGACTAAGCCAAGGTCAGTATCTGTATCAGAAGAAGTAACAGTTAGTTCTGGCGTCGAGCAAGCCGCTCTTGAAGGCTCAGTCTCAGAACAAGGAGAACTCAGGCCCGGGATAGAGGTGAGCAGAACTAACTTCAGACCCATTGTCCCATTGATGATTGATGTTTCAGTTAGGCTGCATACCGCACGCTAATGCTTCACGTCATGCCCCAAGCATATTAGCTAACCTGGCCCCTCCTGCCTGTGGCAAATGCTGGACTGCTTTGATAAAAACTAGATAATTTCTCAGCGGTGATATGATACTTGATAGCCAGTCCTACCGGTTTACCCCCAGGCCACGGCCCAGTGGACCGACTGGACTGACAGTCGGTGTCAGTGTGTGCGATCAGTGTCTCCATCAGCTGCATGCGTAGACCTACTCAACTGCCGACCAGGATAACTGACCGTGAGTGACACCGCGTCAACCCGGAGGATTTGGACCCGGATTTGCATCAACTGCCAACTGGTGCGTCGACCGTACCTGCACTTGCCGCTCTACATAATGCTACGACTCCGAGTATTCAAGTACAGTATTATCATTATTATTACAGTAGTGCTCATCAATAGCGGAATGAAAGGGAAAAGTCTGAATTGAAGACGCAATAGATTGTTACGACCAGAACTAAAATACTTGAACCAGTCCAGGGACTTTGGCTATAGCCAGTAGTCATGTATGCTTGTGATGACGGTAATAACCACACGCTGTTTTGCTGTAAATCGTCACAGCATGCATTCAGGTTCTGTCTGGCACTAGTCCCTAGTACTAGTAGTGGCAGTAGATTTACATACCGTCGTTGGGCAGTTGTGCAAGTAAGTAACTAACTAATTTACTACTAAAGTTAGTTGTTACTAGTCATGTTGAATCAGGGTACGATAGTTTTGGAACGCTGTGAGCGAGACCTGGTGACCAAGCCAAGTCCGGAGCCTACAATACGTCATGTAGTGGAATCCACACTTCGATAACGATAAGGCAGGGGTCATTCCACCCACCACTCCGGTCGTAATGCATGAGTCTCGGCCAACCCTCTCTACTCCACTGTGATTTGCAGCTTGCACTAATGTGACTTGTGCCGGACGTCGACGCACGAGTCATTCTATTATTTTGGTGCAAGAGGACTATCGTACTGTCGATGTACATGTAGATCTACTGTCGCGGACATGGAAATCCAGTCAATTGACCTGGGCCGGCGTCCTCTGACTCCTCAGCGCCTACCGAACAGTGCACATGTATTGTTGATCCGATGCGACCAGCGCACTGTATCGCTGTATCGCATAAATAATGTCATGATGTATAGCAGGCAGGCATAGTGGGATGGTCTAAGACCACGATTGAGAAACAGAGGGTACCAGGTTCAAGTCCTGCTTGCAAGCGGAAGGAATTTTTCCAGCCTTGCTGCGATATTAAAATTTTATGGGATTTCGGTCTTTGACCACTTGGTCAGTGGTGGTGGGTCTGATCTACTCACCTCCCACCGCGCTGCATCTGCGCCTTGATCCTAGTCCCCGACTAGGCTAGATAAGAGGATGGTGGCGTTCCCATGGCGGATATTTATAAATCCCATGGCGGATATTATTTATAAAATTAATATTATGTGTGCACTGCTTACCCATATCCACCGTGGCTGCATGGCCAGCGCTCTGGGGCCTCTAGACGTGCGACCGGATTTCCATGTCCACGACATCAGTGCAGTACATCCAGGACACGTGCAGACGGGGTAGATCGTAACGGGGTACGGGCAGCCTAGCCTGCGAGTGACTGCACTGACCCAGTGACCGATCTTGTACGCACTGGCATTGAACTCTTGAACCCCTAGCCCTATCCCTACATAATGTACATGTAGGCCGTCTCCGGAAGTCCGAATCTCCCCTCGCACTAGTCTCTCAGCTCTCTGAATCAGCCAAGCGCCTACGCAGTGGATGTATTTTTAACCATGCACTTCCAAGCCGCTCAGTGACTCGCCCAACTACTGCCCACTTCATTTGGGCGAATGACCACGACTACTTGTCTTTGACTTCATGAGTGCATGCAGTCGAGCATTCGATGGATCATGGAGTCAGCTGAGCTGAGTGGAGCCAGTGCCCCATGATGACTTGTGCCTGTTGTGGAATGTTTCCCCAGGAGCACTCCACTCTCTGCTCCAGCAACCATCCAGCTTCATCATCATGATCATAGCTGGCCTTTTACCTTTGGCTTTGGTTGTAAAGCAGGTTGCAGTGATCACTGCATGTGGCTTTGGACACACTGCAGTGCAGATGCCAACAAGCAGGCTAGCTAGCTAGGCTAGGCTTGGCTCAGCGCTGCAATCATTAATTTTTTATTTTGTTTTCGGAGTTCACCCCGGCGTCGGTCAAGTGCGCACAGGCGTCCGTCGATCTGAACGCTCCCCGCTTCCTTTTCGATTTTCCGGAGACTTGCTCAGTAACGGTACTCCCCCTTGTCCACACGAGAGAGCTAGAGTACTAGCGTGGACAACTGAGTGATATTGGTGCACGCGGATCGTTTTGATCCTGCAACGGGGTAGATCTACCTGTATTTGGATCGCTAACGTTGTCGGGCTTGGTGGCCGCTGCGCAAGCAGCCATGGATTGGGATGAGATTGCAGCGGACGTGCTGCGCTCCTGTCACACGCAGCTAAAAAAGGCTCTGTCGCCTCGCGACCACGTTGTCGACCACCTTTACCAGGCGAAGATCATTTCTCTCGAGGAGAAAGTCCGCGTTCAAGACCAGCGACTGCAGCAAAGTCAGGTGAGGAAGGTGGAAACACGGCCGGTACGGCCAAGGGTGTGTGTGACAGTCTGTCACAGTGTGTCCACGCTGGCATTGTGTGATGGGTACAGGATCAGTTGGCTAGGACTGGTTAGGAAAGGTCCAAGAGGGGATCTTCCAAGTAATAGTTGGAAGGTTGTTGCCGGTTTGCGCCTCTTAGAAGTGTTGGAGCTAGGTGTCAGGTCGTTGAATGTCTACTGTGCTGCCTGCCTGTCTACCTATCCGTTTGTATTCATTCGTGCATTTGACGTGCATTTGACGTGCATTTGACCGTGTACGTACAGGCCGACGAGCTACTGATGATCCTGGCTGGACGCTGCACATTGGCCATAGTACAAGAGCTGATCAAGGCACTGGAAGGTGCTACGCTACGCCCGCAACACGAGCTTGCTGCTTTGCTCAAGTCGCAGCTACGCAGCAAGGGTGTTCAGAATGGACTAACATCAGCTACACCGGAACCAGAAGTAACGACAGGTAGGGTCCAGCGGATAATGCCGGCATTGTATTCGGCATTCTAACTTTTATAAGACTATCCGAGCATCAGAGCATTATGGAGCATTAGAAAGGAACAAAACGAGCATTATGTGAGGTTTGAGCGGCGTAACGAGTTTCATAGTGGATATTATCAGGAAATCCCAGGTTTTTGGCAACAATCGGCTACAGTCATCATCATGAGTTGCAACCTTGTGCATTGTACCGGCACATGACTTTGTGATTGTATAGACACGTAACACATTTGGCACTAATGCTACAGGATCACATTGCGTCATAAAGACGTTGTTCGTAGCGATGTAGTCAGGAAAATGTACAACCGGTTACCCATGTACATGTATGTAGCATGCCCAACCGAGCCAGTTACATAAATCCGGAGAAATGATTTACGAGGTTTTTTTTAGAATAATGGAGAACTATGGAGGAGACGTTTGCGAAGTGAATATCAAACAGACGAAGAAGAGTTTTCTCGTTGTGCCATAGGCTCTGGCGATAGCGTCTCTAGTGATACTGAAGTAGACACTGATGCATTGATAAATTTGGATGAGATGAACGAGCGGCTATAAACAGAAAGAGCTCGTTCCAAAAGAACTGCCTTTGCCGAGAACAGCTCGGGAGGCTCGAAAATTTCCAGGGCGTCGGAAGGTATTTTTGTGTGGTACGGTCAGCCATCTGAAGTACAATTTACTCGTGGGGAGGGGTTGCTGAGCCGAAATTTTGGAGAATTAGAGCCCAAATCAGTGCATTTTATTGATTCACAGGGTACTTGGGTCAAATAGGGGTACGGTCAATACCGTAGTGACCGTACCGTGTGCGACGCCCCTGCCTACAGTCAAATGCTCTCAGTAAAGAAGAGTATTGTGGCCAACCATATGTCTTCACACCATCTCAAGGAGAAGAAGACAGCACAAGCAAAGGATGTAGAGCGGCAAAATAACTTCTGATCGCGTGTTTTCAGGATTTCCGCAAATGGGAGGGATCTCGATCTGAGATCGGCTCTCAGGAGCTGGCCTCATGTCTGCTGTTTCAGATGA